ATTTTGAGGACCGGTAAACCAATCAAATAGCTACGGAAATTAGGAGATACAACATAGCAGTGCTCGCAATCAATGAAACCCATCAGACCTAAACTGAACAGAAAAGGTTAGGTTCGGAAGAGATGGTGCTGTACTCTGGTCACGAAGAATAAAATGCTCCACACACTCCAGGACTTGCCCTGATGATGTCCAAAAGAAGCACGAAATATGCTTATCGGATTGGAATTGCATGGATTCAGAACCGTCAAGGCATCCTTCAAAACAAAATAGGAAGGGATCACAGCGAGGATAATCGAGTGCTATGTACCTACCAATCATAGCTATGAAGACGACGATGAGGATCAGTTTTATGAGGGGCTGCAGTCAATTGTAGGATAGTGTTCAGGAAGGGACCTGACCATCCTGAAGGAAAACCTAACGGCCAAGGTTGGGATGGACAACATGAAGTATGGAGATATCATGGAATGAAATGGACTGACTGGGCGAAGGAAACGAAAATTGCGACAGATTCGCAAATTTATGTGCTTTCAACAAAATGTTCACAGAGGGCGCAATATTCCCACACAGACATATACACAAAGCTATGTGGGTCTAATTGGATAATTTTTACATCACTAAATAATTCAGAAATTCAATGGAAGACGTGAGAACTATGAGGGAGAGGAGCTGATATAGCTCCAGATCGCTACCTGGTGGTTGGCAGTATGAAACTGAAACTGAGGAAGCAATGGACAACTGGAGAAAAGGCATTACAAATGTTTAATACAGCCTTCCTTCGAAAAACTGACCAACTCAACGAATTCAAGATATCTTTCAACAACATGTTACAAGCCTTATAAGATCTACTAAAAGGAGAGAAAACTACTATGGAAAACAACTTGAATGGAGTCAAAGAATCCCTAACTTCAACGTGTCAGGAAGTGCTGGGTCACAACAAGAAACATTATAAGGAATGAATTACTATAGAAACCCTGGAAATGATTCAAGAAAGGAAGAGCAAAACGACAACAATTAACAGAGAAAGTCAGGGCGCAAGCTGAATCACATTGAAGCAAACAAACGAGTGAAGAGAAGAATTAGAACCGATAAGCAGGAATACGTGGAAGAGCTAGCAATGACAGCGGAAAAAGCTTTAAGAGAAAGGAAGTATGAAACATGACACAACGAAGAAACTGGAAGGCAGATATAGTAAACCAGAGAGACCAGTCAAAGACAAAGAAGACAAGATACTAACCGAGATCCAGGAACAGTGGAACAGGTGGGTAGGCCACTTTGAGGAACTCCTGAATTGATCAGCTCCATTGAATCCACCATATATCAAAGCAGCACACACAGACATTCCGACTGATGTCACTCTACCAACGACCGAAGAAATCTGGATGGCCACCAGACAAATCAAATGTGGGAAAGCAGCACGACATGACAACATACCAACTGAAGTACTGGAGTTAAACACAAGGTTGACTGCAAAGAGGATCCACATTCTCTCCAGAAAGAACTGGGATGAAGAATAAGTGCTACAGACAGACTGGAAGTAAGCATACTACACCAAGATACCAAAGAAATTAAATTTGAAATGTGTGAACTACAGAGGTATCACACTACTATCGGCACCAGTAAAGGTTTGCAAAAGAGTATTGCTGAGCCGGATGAAACACTCAGTAGGCGCCCAACATCCAGATTAACAGGCTGGATCGCTTAAGGATCGATCATGAATAGACCAAATCGCAGCACTAAGGATCATCACTGAACAATCAATTCAATGGAACTCGTCGCTATTCATCAATTTCCTTGACTATGACAAAGCACTTGACACTGTGGATAGTAGGGCCTTATGGAACCTTCTTCAACGCTACGGAGTGAGTAGCTGAAAGCATAATCAACATCACACTGAATCTGTGCAAATTTATGCATAGAGGACAGCTGACAGATTCATTTCAAGGTGAGGACTGGTTTTGGACAAGACTGATAGCTCTATCGCTCTCTTCTGGTAATTGACGGGATTATGAAAACCTTCACATCCGACGGAACGCACGGAATATAATGGACAGCTTGAATACGACCAGACGATTTAGACATCAGATGACCTAACCAAGCTATTCCATACATATCAACAAATGCAGATCAAGACAAACAGTGTAGCAGCAGCCTCTGCGTCAGTACACCTCAACATACTCAAGGGAAAAAGCAACATCCTCGTATACAACACGGAGAACACCAACCAAACCAATCACACTTTATGGAGAAACTCTGGAAGATGTGTAATCCTTCACATGCCTGGACAGTATCACCGATGAACAAGGAGGACATGATGTAGACGTCAAGGCATGGATTGGCAAGACAAAAAAAACATTCCTACAGTTGTAGAACATATGGAAGTCAAAACAGCTCCCAATCAATATCAAAGTCATAATCTTCAATAACGACGTCGAGACAGTTCTAATGTACGGAGATGAAACTTCGAGAACTATCGAAACCATCATCCAAAAGGTAAAAGTATTTATAAACATTTGTCTACTCAAGATTCTCAGTGTCCGTTGGTTAGATATCATCAGTAACAGCTTATTGTAGAAGAGAACAAACTAGCTTTGAGCTGGATAAGAAATTAGGAAAAGACGCTGGGAGTGGATAGGGTATATATTGAGGAAATCATCAAACTGCATAATGAGACAAGTGCCAACTTGGAATCCTGATTGGAAAAGGAAGAGTGGGAGACCAAAGAACTCCTTGAGTCGGAAATTAGACACAGACATGAAAAAGACGAATAGCAACTGGGAAGAACTGGAAAGCATTGTCCGGGACAGAGGTAGATGTAGTATGTTGGTGGATGGCCTATGCTCTTCAATGAGGCGTAACAGACGTAAGTATGTCAGTAATTATATTTGGATTACATTTTAGTAACAAATGTTCTACTATACAAAACATAAGATTGGTGTTCCATACACAATCATTTTTTATCTTATCCAACACTTTTAAAATACCGCTAATGGATTCTGTATTGCAATATAACTTCATAATGACTAAAATTGAACAAGTCACTTTAAATATTGATGATACATTCATATATATATATATATATTCTCCCTATTTGCATGATACAAAATTAAATCAGAAATCTAATTCAATAAACTTTCAGTTCATACGGTCACAAATACAAATTTTACTATAATTAATGCGGTTTAGATAACCAGTGAATAATATTACCGGCAAACCCAACCAAGTTAGTTGAATGGTCTTGAGAATAAACCTTAAAGTAGGTTATTAAATAGTATTTATTATTGTCTCAAATATCTGTCTACATTTTTTGAGCATCGACAGAACTATTAAAGGGAAATATACCACTGAAAATACACATTTCTATTCACAAGATCATTCATCTTTCACTAGAAAATATGGTTTAAAAAACTATGAATTTTGTTTAGTTTTTTGATTGCATAGATTTCGAAAACATACCTTAATATCTAGTAGATGTGGGGATAACTACATAAGTAGCATTGACAATGCTGATTACTATAAAGTTTACAAATTAAATTGACCAACAATTGAAAATTTGTAAATAATAATAATAATAATATTTTTTTGAATATGAATATTCATTTGATTTACTGTATTTTTATCAAAACATTCTATTCCGATTCCACAGGTTTTCTATATATAACACTGAAAATACATTAATTGGTCACTCGGTAATTGATAACATACTATCTATACCATAGATCTTATTGACTAATTATTTGCTTGGAAAATGTATTATTTATATCATCACTCTATTGTTAAAAGATATATTTAATCTCATCGTTGCTAAGTTTAAAATATTTTTATGCTTAATTTATTAAAACTCACGATTTCAAGTAAACAGGTATCTTAGACACTAGATCCCACATTCAAATATCAAAACTCAAATAGAATAACAAGAATCTGAACTTCAGTAAAAGGAACTTTCATTTCGTCAGATGGAATTTTCAAATGTTCTCATTCGATTATGCGACCATTTGATGAAAAGTTTATGCTGATTACGAAATTAGTTGGAGTAATAAATAGCAATTGACTTTACCTACTCATAAGTAGCCTAAATTATTTGACAGCATTTGTGACAAAATTTCACAGTGAGAAATTTACAGATATAGCACTTCAGTCAAATAACGCTTAATTTCTTTAAATATGGCACATTTTTGAGATTAAATGGCATGTGTGAAACGTACCAATGCATGACTTTATGATGGTATTTCTTATTACAGCATCGTGCTTTCAAATGGAAATTATGGACTTCACACTAAATTCGATAACCGGGTCATAAAATAAATTGCAAGAATTTTAATGCTCATTTACCATAAACTAGATTGTTGTTCTACATTTTTAAGACAACTAATGCATTTGTTAAGTTTAACCTGTATTACAAATAAATTCTCAGGTCAATGATGACTACTCCTTCAAAATTGGAATTTCGTGACAAACATGATTATTTTTTAAGACATTACGTTCAATGTGAAATATAGACTTCAATTTTGATTATTAATTAACCTAACCGAAAATAACGAAATACTCCGACTTCCTCATATATGTACAATACTATATATGAATTCATTCTGAGCAGATTTTTGTTTCAATTTACACTTCATTTCCTTTTTGATGCCGTTCTATGAGTTTACTGAACTGTTTATTCTACTTTTATCATTCAACTACATTCTCTAATTACTTAACCTTCTTCACGTTATATTACAAATATATACTATTTTTTTATATTCATTTACTCGCATAACTTGAAACAGATGTTCATTTATATTAGTACTATTATTACTAACCAATGACATTCGGAACTAAAAATAAAATAGATGTACATACAGTATTCAATTATTGTAGATTTAATAGGCTTAAAAATATTTCACATACACTAAATTAATATACTTATTTTCGATTGTTCTGTAACTACGAAATAGTCTGTAATGTAGCTTACATCAATTAAGAATCATTCTATTATTCAACATTTTTTCTGAGTATTTTTATTAATTAACAGATATGTTGTGATAGAATAGGCATAATGTAATGTTTCTTTTAGTTTAGGTTTATGTCCTAATACGAAGAGGGTTCTATTTTCATTTTGTATCAAAGAGAAACCACTGAAAAAAACAAAGAAATGTATTAAACATGAAAATATTCGAATTCAGCTTTTTTATTCACATTAGCAGTTATATACTAGTGACATTGAGATTATGAAATGGTTTATCAGTCAAATTACAAGACATAGTATGAATCAAGAATTTTTGCACAGTTACTTCAAGTATGAATACTAATTATATCAACAAGAATAAACTACACGACTCCTTTTTAGAATAAAAAATCACACAAGGTTACAAGTTCTATATATTAGCAAATATAAAGAAACAAAACAACAATGTATAGAACAAATGCAACTCTAAACGGAAGAACAAGAAAAATACATCTAAATCAAAACATATGCATTTTTGTGAAACTATTGACGATTTCCTATTTTTCAGTAGGGAAATCTACAATTCCTCTATTTCTAACTGTAGATTGTAATCAGAAAAGAACTATACAACGGATTCTGTGGTTGCAAAATTTACCAAGGTTTGTTTTATATCTAGAAATGTGTGAGTTAATATTCTGTCCGGCTAACGAGTTACTTACGAGCATATTTCAAAATTTGGTGAGGGTAGACAATATATTTTCTCGTAAATAAATTTAATTGTTTGGAAATTGTATAATATACTTAAAAGTTAATTTTTATTTACCACCGATAATAAACTGGCCGTCTCCGGGATATTAGTAGTGTTCAGTGTGTCACATAGCGTGACATTTCCCAGTATTTATTCAGATAAAATAGGTTATTTTTTGAAAGACGAGAACTTATCGCTACATGACCCAGCTATCCATAAAAATCGTTGTGAAACATAAAATGGACATTTAACGTAATTAACATCCAACTGATTAAATTTATGTGAGATTAGTATATGTATTTTTCGCTTCGATATATAATTCATCTTTTCCACCAGCAGGAATTTATGTAAACATTGATGTTACGCATCCAGAGATAATGGTTTTATGTTAAAACCATACTTTTGATAAACATCAAGCTATGAAATATATCCTTCGACTTAATTTGACAGGATCCTGGTGATTTCAATAATTTCATCAGTCATTTCATTGATCAGTAATACAGTGGCGTTTAATATATTAAGTATACGACAAAAGTATTATTTCTAGTTTTTTGAACAATCAGTTCTGATGCATATATAATCTCAAGAGTTTATGTATAAACTATACAGGTTGCAAAAGAAAAAAGGTTAACAAATTATATTTTCATCCAATTTATATTAAAATGAGCCTCCTGCAAAGGAAGCTACATTAATATCGGCACAAATAACAATTAAAAATAAAAGACTACATGTATTTATGTATGTATAGCTACGCTGAAAGAGATCAAAAGAAATTTGTAATTTCAATTTATAAGAGATCACTTTCAACTTGACTGTTTGCATAAATATACTTATAAACGTTATGATGTAACAACATTACAGGACAATGGAAGAAATGGTAGAAAAGTTATTTTATCAATTAACTGAGCTATCTGTATATATAGAAGCACGTTCACTGAAAAAGAGCCCAACTATACGCGTTTTTTAACTTTTGTGCTTTTAATGTTTAACCAAAGGATATTAAAAACAAATTAGATTATGGATTAGAGAAAGAGGACAAATTAGATTCACTTGTCTAAATAAACATAATAAACTGATATTTCTATGTCAAACATACATACAAACAGAAATGCACGTACGAGTCAAAACAAGATTCATTAACGTGCAGAATAGTCTTTGAATTATTCATACAAACAAACAACTATATGTATGTGTGTGAATTGATAATCTACAGTGATAACACTTAATAATATGGATTTAGAACAGGAACGTAATTTAAGCAATATCATCATGATCAACATTGATAATTGAACACTTCACATAAGAAAACTATGTCATAGATTGTATAACGGGAAGAGGAATAGGATTTTCATCAAATTAAACGAGCTAAAACAGTTGTTTGTTCATTTGAAGCTGCTGGAATAGGATAAAAACCAAAACGTCGATAAAGTTCTGCCCGATGTTCATTGATAGTATCCAACTGTACATGTGCTCCCTGTAGTAAAATAGAAATACGATAAAAAACAAACCCTATTATAATACAACTAACAGAACTTAAATGAAATAACGAAATAAAAAAGTTGTTTATTACATATTGATTATCGATGAAATTCAGAATGTAGATTTCGTCTCATATAAAGACTCATCAACTAGACATGGTTGCATTCTAGTAATTACCAGTGGCCAACACAAAGCACAATCTTATATCTTTCGTATCAAGTGTATTATTAATTGTTATTGAATCATAAAAAATACATTTTCTTGTTATTTAATGGTTTTTGTTTGTACATTAGATTGGTTCAACCAATTTTTTCTCGATAATATAGGCTCCATTATATATATCGATAATGTTGTCGGGTTAAAACTAAGTAAAGTAATCCATTATTATCAACCAATATAATGTAGAATAAAAAAATCGAGCTTCGTAAACTAACGGAAAACATGACATGAATGATGAATCTACAAAATAAACATAACTTTTCTATTCCAATTTAAGAAATATAAATACTTGCAGTTTACATGAAATGGTTTTTTGAAAGTAACCAATGTGATGATCTAAGCATAAGCATTGACAATTTAGTTAAAAGATTGTCAATTCCATTCACATGATATACTCGTAAAACTTTAGTCACAATTCTGATTGATTGGTTCAGTTGAAAATTTTAAAAGTAATTCTCTGTTATAGAATTCTCAGCTAAATAATACAATAATCAAAATGTACCAAAGCATTATATTCAAGTTTTAAACAATCCTTGTTAATTTACATCTAGTCAGTCAGCCAGCTACAACGTGGGATCATGCACATATATGCATCGGTCTAAGTTGCCATACCTCATTAACACAACAAGATGGACACCGGATACATAAAAGTAGTTAATTCAGAGGTGGTAATATATAAAAGAAAGATTGCAATAAGGATATAGTGCAGGAAGAAAGAAATAGTTCGTAGAAAGATATGGAGCGATTTTAACCTCTTAGTTTAAGGGAAGACAGAGAGTATATACACCTACGCGATTGTGATCGATTCTGAGCCATGTCACCAAGAGTCTCCAACCATTGGCTACGATAGGCACGCGGACCCCAACCAAGTAGTCTGCATCTACCAACATGACCCAAACTAGAATTTAGTGGCTGATGCCACGTTTTGGTTTGGCCACACCTAATTTTCTTCCAACCATCCCCGACACTGGTCAGCATTGTGCGTCGTTGTAAACGGTGTTCAGGCATACGCAACATTTAATTCCAAGTATTTGTTAAATGTAGATTTAAATATTTCATAATAAATTCAATTTAATCTAGTTTATTTCTTACATAAATATTTAAGTTAGAAATTATTTACAAGTGATTAATCACTGAGTTGAGACCACTGTCATGCTTGTCGAGAATCTTTTAGTAACTAAACGAATTTTACCGATTAAGTTGAAATAGATTAGTGATAATATCTTACAAAATTATACTGTTTATATATCTCCGAAATATATACTTATTTAAGAAAACAATTATCAAAAGAAACAAGAAATAGAAATAGTTGTTTAAAATAAGGAAATTTATCAATCATATTTTATAATAACAAATTATCATTTAAGAACTTGCATGAGCGCCGACTGTCTTCAATGCCGCTAACAAACAAATAAATAATCGACGTGCTACAGAATCCAACAACACTTCAGGTGAATCTGCACATAATCCAAGATTATGATTAATAAGCATAGCAGGTGTAGGACCATTAACACAACTATTTAATCCTATATCATCAAATTCAATCCATATAATAGCGGGATGAGCTGTTAAAGCACTATGAAGTGCTTCTGGTCCACCAGCAACAATAAGATTCCGAGCTATCACTGAATTTGTTGTTGCAGGACTACTTGAACATGTCTCAGGCACTAATGATGGTGCACAAGTAGTTCCAGATGGTGGAGATGGAGGAGCGGTATCTGGTAAAATAGGTGTAGGCAAAGGTAAAGCTGGGATAGTTGCACCACATTCATCAATAGGAAAAGAAGACTTTAATTCTAATTGAGATGACAAATTAGTAGGAATATTAGAAGTGATTGGAGCAGTCGTACAATTAGGTTCACATTGTTCCAAACAACCAGATAGTGGTGGCTCCATGGGAAGGCATCCACCAAGTGGTTCAGGAGGAGGGATTAAATTCACAGCTGCAGCAATATCAACAACTTCAGATGTATCATTGTGGAAAGAAGAAATCATAGACTGAAAATTAAAAAAATGACTAAGACGTTACTATTACTTTAAGTAGTCAATAATTTACATTTTGTATAGTTGACTGTGACAAGCTGTAGCTATCTTTCAATTTTAATTAGTATAGCCATGGTCATCAGTGGTTGGGTATCATAAGTGAAAATATTTAGATATCCATTATGACAAAACATATATTTCATGGCTAATTTTGTATACATTTGAACTTATTATCAAATTAGTTAAATATTCACTGGATATTTTTTAGTTCATTTAAATGAAATCTTTAGTTGGAGTAAGTATGGGAATTTGAATCAAAAGACTACTTCATACAACTCAGTATACTTATTCGATAATGATACAGGGACTCAGCACTACAATGTCAGAAAACTCAGCTTAAGTAAAGAAATTATAAACCTTAGTTGAAACAAATTGACTATGTTTTAAACATTATTACTGCGTGCATTCGATCCGTCGGAATTTTTTAAAGTCCGTAAATTGTGTGTATGGAACTAGTACAATGATTACTAAATCCAACAAGATCTTTAGGTCTAAACAGTTGTTATACACTAAATATGTGGAATTGAATACATCAATCATAACAAAAAACAAAGATGATAGTAAATGAGCAAAAAATATTACTATTATTATTCACCTTGATGAATTCTTCGACAGCCACAGAATTTTGATTTGGAGTAATGCTTGAAGAACGATCATCTGTTAAAGGGGAAAGTGGGGCAGATGAAATTACAGGAGGTTCCAATCGAGCAGTATCAGTCGCAGTAACAACGTTCAAGTTAGAGTTGTTGGTCTCACCATTTCCAACGACTAATTTGTTACAATGCGATAAATTGTGTATTCCAATTTGGAAATCACGTGGATATTTCAATTTCATTGACTCTCGATAGTGAGTAGTACGTTCACGAGCCCAACATACAGCATCTGGTGCTGAAACACCAAAGCCAACACAATTACCTGTGGTAGAATGATCAGTATTTGTGACTGAGCTAGAGCAATCAACTGAGGTCTGCAGGAAGGGTGGACCCATAACCATAAAACAATTTTCAGGTGAATGTTGTAGAAATGGAAGTAAATACCTACAAGTTGATACCAAACACGAATGAAGTAAGAGGAACATATACGAATTAAATATAGGCAGTACGTTTATGTTTACATAAACAAATACTTTTAAAAACTTCTGTTGATCATTTAGAGGCAGTGAACAATAAGCATACTTAGTAGATTGCAATCTTTTTAAAATGTTACATGAACAAGACCTGGAAATGCTAATCAGGATGGTAATCCCATAGTTTTTTTTTTCTAAATGCTCACAAACTGTAGTTTTAAAGCGTTTTATCAAGTAGCTAGTAGATGGTTAGATTAAAATACTAGACAACCATTTAGTTCATGCTTTGAACTAACCAAGATATAATGATGAAAATCACACTAAAATATTTGACAGATTTAAATGACACAATATGTTTCCATTCTTGCGTGATTCAAATGACCTTATTTGGTAGTACAACTAACCTCTGACAATTATTTACAAACTGATTACAATCAACGATAATTTATCAAGAAATTGATTTTAATCTTAGTTTACTCATAAAAATAACTAAATTGTAGTGTGATGGAGAAAAAATTAACCCAACAATTTAAACTTAATTTTAATGGTACTTAAGTGACCTAAGAAATACGTATCTCCCGATTTCTAATGTTTCGACTGACTTTTAAGTATGTTTATTTTTGCTTGATATGTTGTACATAAGTGTGTTATTTTATTAAATGAATAAATAAGCTATTCAGCTGGTCAACTGTTTTGTCTTCTGATCTAGGTTCATTGCAGGTGGATGTCAATAATTCGATCACTTGAATAGTTACCACTTGGCCAGGTTCTATACTGATTATGACTATTACTTGCCCGGTCACATCGTATCACTGTAATCCAACCTATAGATTAGCACTGGATACTTCAAGTTAACAATCTAAAGCCTATTTAAATCACAAAATAATAATTTCTAACAAACTAATAAACAATAAGTGGGCTACGCACTTACATTATATATTATAAATTAACCTTGAAATAAATTAATGATGTTTATTTGACTATTTTTTTACTATAAAAATAACCATAACAATAAATCCATAGAGTTTTATTATATTTAATAATATCCATTACCAAATCTATTGAAAATATTAAAAACTACACAATGATGATTTCATTATAGTGATCTCAGCACATATATAAGTATCCTAATGTAAATTGGAGAATCAATGGAAACCAGGGAGAAATCAATAATTGATACGTTCTACTTTGAACGGGTTTTTAACTAGTGTACACATACGACTCCAAACAAGATCGAACCTGGAAAACTGAATTATTTAGTCATTTTACTTAGTTAGTTAATGATGAAAGTTGTATTCAAATTACACATAATCTTCTTAAAACTATCTTCGAAAATAAATACTTCATATATGAATTTACTCACTTGTCACCTGGTAAATCCTGGAATTCTAATGGAAGAGCGTTTTCAGGTAAACCAACACGAGTCAAAAGTAGTTTTCTGAATAAGCCATACATACATGATTTATCTTCAGGTCTATATGGTCGAACTATATATGATGGAAACCTTGAAAAATTTGGGAAAATTGAAGGTTGAATTGGAATCATTGGGGGAACAGAAGGCGCAAGTGGTGTGTATACACTTGATGCATTATCAGGCCAATTCAAACAAGGAATGGTAGTCATGCCTGGGACAGCACGACTTGGTGCAGGGAAAAGATCTTGAGCAGATTCGAGAGGTAAAATTCTCTGAACAAGGAAAAGAAAATCTCTAGTTATCATATTCAAAAGACCTTTAAATGTATGATGTCATACAGACTACAACATAACCAACTATTGAAAATTTAGACTGAAAGAAATCTAACTTGTAAGGATCGTAACAAACAAAATAGCATGCTTATAATTTAAGAAAATTGTTCATACTGATTTTATCTTAAAAATATATATAGTGTAAAACCTTACAAGGAATAATTTGTTACCTTTAATGATCCGTTTATTTTTAAAGTATGATTTATATAACTATAAAGCTAATGGTTGATAAATCTGAAAACAATGAATCAAATCGATTCATAACTGAGTAAATAATTTTTGGAACTATGTAAGTATAGATAGTTCTATGAGTTTAATGGTCATCTAAGTATATAAATTAGCTTACTGTTGAAAACAGAAAATTTGTATGAATATTAGATAAAAAGTTCCACTTGATTGGTCAATAAGTACTGACCTCTGTAATTTAGTTCTGACCGAATTTTATAGATAAAGTTGCAATGTGACCTACATATCAAAATAATGCACCCGATATTCAGTCACTTATACTAGTGGTCACATTTAATCTTGATCGATAGAATTTGGTTAGCATTCAAGAGCCCAACAAATATAACGGCGGTCGCCACATAGTGATTAACGAATCATAGATATTTCAGTCCTACATGAGGTCAATCGATCTTAAAATAGCTCAATGTTAATGTCTTAGACTATGAATTTGGGTGACGTGGGTTCGAAACCATTAGGGGCACCAGTACCCTCATGATTGCAGGTACCCCATGGTAACGAGTGCTAACTACTATAAAGCCTAAATCCAGAGTTTCTTGTCAACTAACTCCAACCACTCAACTGAATGAAAGCTAGCTGAAAAGTATGATTTTATTTACCTGAAGTTCTGTTATCAATCCACCACGAAATGTCCATGGTTCTTGATCACCAGATGTTACCATATCACGGTAACCAGGCGAAAACCCTAAAATTTTAAGAAATGGAAGATTTCAAATAAGAATAACGCAAATTCTTTTAGTTCTTATGAAATACAAAATGAAACAGGATAAAATATTGATCCGCAAAGAACAAACAAACAGTCGTACACCGAACAGCATCATTGTCAAGGAAGCCCAAAATATACATACACCGTGTATTTACATTAAAATGATGTTAAGCCTAGAGGTGGTACATAGGAATTATGCAAAGTACCCCACTTTGACTTAAACAGAAGACAAATGCTTAGAAACAAAAATGAGCTCTTTCAAGACGCTTCCCTTCTCTAACAAATGATTTCCACTATAGTTTACCCTTGAAACTAATAATAAACAGCTGTCCTCTAGTTTGAAGCCTAAGCTACTGTAAATCAATAACACGTCCCTCATTTTCATGCGTAATCATGTATATACCAGCTACTATTGGCTACAACCACAACAATAAGTGATAACGTTTTTCTAAGATAATTTAGATCATGATGTTTAATCAAACTGAGAATTAATGGAAAATAGAAATAAATAAACGTTTGATAATAGTCTAGGATTTCACAACGGTGCAATCCTATACGGGATCAGGTTCAAGAAAATCTTGTATTAATTACTAAACTACTGGCATTTAATATGTATAAACAGTAGCAAACCTATAAAAACTTACATGTTAAAAGCCGCTTTAAATGAGACATGCTACGAAAAGCCATGACTCCAGTTTCTGTAAAATATGAAGAAAAACATTAGTTATGCTAAATATCTGGGAACTCAGGTTAATAGATGAAACAATATTGTAAGAAAACTTTACTTCTACCTGAAGTTTGTGCTGATGATGTCGTTCGGAATAACTATGAAATCTCCACGGCTAAACCATCCAGCTCAGAGAACAAAACACCGAGAACTTTGGTCGTTTCATTGAATAGAACTTATAAATGAACTCGAGGGCGGAGAATTACTCGGTTTAAGACAATATTTTCCTTGAAATGTTAAGAGCAATAATACTTCAGAAGAATAACTAAACTATATGGGAGACTTGGAAAGGTTATATTCATGAAATAAACTAACAAATACAATTCGAAACAATCAGTAGAAAAGTTTTTACTGTCACAACTGATAGGTTTGTAGGAATTTACACGGGAATTAATTTGCGATCAGTTTTATTATGGTCATAATTTCAGACTAATACAAATAAAGAATACATATTCCACCAAAAACATTACTGTTCATTCTACGATTATATTGAATATGGATTATGGTTGAATGTATACGTTCCGAATGTTTTTAGATAACAATAAACAAAGCGAAACCATTTAAATCCCTGGTTGTAAATTTGGAAAGTACTCTGACTAGTGTTGTTTGATCAGACCGTTAATATAATATTATATATATATATAGCGTAAGGCTTACCTAACCATCGGAAATAATCCAGGATAATTCCAACTACACTATGAACTTCGGTTATATATGGTACTAGTTCATAGGAGATACTTTTAGATGGTAAACGTTGTATACGATCTCGTATTCGACCAATTGTGGAAACCATATCTATATAATCTGATAACTTTTTGTTCCATTCAGTTGCTTTCTAAAAGTAAAAAATAAATGAAAAAATAAAGAAACTACCATGATATTTTGTTGATTACTAATTATTCAACTAGTTATAATCAACAGAGTTTGATACAAATGTAAGTTAGCTCAATTCTCTATACCACATCAGTATTGACTAGATGAAATTAACAGGATTAACAGAGAATGAGTTGAGATAATTGTAGTAGTAATGATAGTGAGAAAGGCTAAATTTTGAAAATGTGATTCAAAAAGACTGATTGAAAAGATATATATGAAGAAATACTGAAACTGAAGATCTGAATGAAGATAAAGGGTGCATGTATATGTGTCATTGTGATCTGTTCTGAGCTATGCGAGTTTACGTTTCCAACCACTGATTTTAAGATTATTTTAAATTATAAACCACATAAAGACATAAGTTGCTGGTTGTATTAATAACATCAAATTCTGTAATTATCTCCATAACTGTGAACTACCCGCATTTACAAACCTGAAGAATTTACATTCGTTATTTTTAGAGTTACAAGTTTAATTCCACATCATTTGATCAATTCCATTGTAATATCCTCCAGTTTTTCGAAACAAAGTCGACAAACATACATGATCTAAGGAAAGATAGTCCTAAGAGACATGCTCCACTGCGAGGTATAACGAACGTAAGCAAGCAACTTAACGAGACAAAAGGAAACGAAGTTCTACTAACGCAACCTGAAAAAAGGGAAAGATATCGTATTATCAAATTGCCATGACTTTATATTATTAAAATGTCAGAAATTCTGTTGGACGATATAAAATTCTTAAATCTGAAGGCGAAAAGAATAGAACCAAGGTGATTGGAAAATAAATTACACTGATTTTAAAACGGTTCGGTCGTCCAGATAAAAAAAGTTCAAAAGGCAAAATAAATGAGAGATATTATTAACTTATGAAATGAAGATCATTAAATTTCGATTAGTTAATGCAACGTTTGATTTTTTAGAACAAAAAATGAAAACATGCTTATTTATCACTTGTGATTAGCAAGAAATAAAGCTAACTGTACTTATGTAAGATGAATATTAATGGAATGCTTCTTCACATTGTATAATATGAAAGCATTACTTTCAGAACAAAAAGATATCTTCACACTGAACTTCATAATTGATGACTATTACCTCAAGATCAGATGGGTTAGGTCCACATACATACGAATATTCACGTAACCAATGTCCTAATTCTAGTAGACGAATAGCTGAGGGTCCATGAGAGAAAGGTAAATAGAAAAGATCAGCGAACATTTCCAAATCCTCTAAGGTAACAGTAACTGAATTTACATCACCTATAAGAGCACATATTTAAGAAAGGATACATATCTAAAGTAATAATAATAATAATAATAATAATAATAATAATAATAATAATAATAATTTGGTGGAAAATAAATTAATAAAATTGCAAGTTTTAGATGAGTTTATGAATTCTTGTCAGTAGAGTTTACATATATCAGTCTGTATTTACGCTAATATATTTTCGATTACATGTCAGCTGAGATTATAACAAGTGATTGTACAGTATAGTAACTAAAATCAAACTAATAATAGTAATAATAATAAAAATAATTATTATTATTAATATGAAGAAAATAAAGATAAGCTATTCCTATAATGATTACTTCCCTTTGTCTAATGATGCAAAACAATGTAAGACATGCAGCAAATACATAATTTTTTAGTACCATGATGACATGATTCATCCTTGACTAGTGTACCAGAAAATAATTAGGAATCTAGAATACACTACGTAATAACTTGAATTAGTTATTCGTATTACACATAAGTTTGAATCCAATGCTAACTTTGTTAGAAAAGACAGTATTGTTACAACCGAGGTTGTAATCATGTGGTTAGATAAACACTCGACTGGTTTGATTAACTGAAATTGTACTGCATGGGTGACACAGATTTATTTGACATAATTAAAATCATACTGACGACATAGTAGCTAGAAGGTCAAAACACGATATAACAAAATAGTAATCTTCAGTTTACTAGATTAGTCAATCTATTTACTTTCTCTATGTGATTTGTTTCAATAACCTGGTCAAGGATGTAAGGTATACAATAGTCTGGTTAAAAAACATACTGTTGTGAGACAATTAAGACACAACATTATTTCTAATTAGAGAGATATCTCGATAGCTAAAGGGCTTGATTTTCAGTAATTGGTGGTCATAGGCTTAACACATCTGTTTCATTTACTTCAGTTTGGAGGTAGCTAAATCCATACAATTAACCTCTCTATAAAAAGCATTACTAAGATTTAAGTACACTGGCTAGTGAATGACACCAGTTACTGATGGAATAGGTTTCCTGTGATAACTGAATGATTCGATTTTCGCAACGGGGATTCGTCAGATTAAAGATCGAAAATCTTAGATTTGTGATACCTTTCTTCATAAAATAAAAATGTGGATATTCAATGGTATTTCAATACAACCTCCATTTCTATAAGGCGCTAATTATATACACAGGTGATAATTAAAATTATCTTAGAAATCCTGGGTCATGGGAATATTTGAACTAGCTCCATCTGGACTACGGCTTCAATTACTTTACAGATTGAGTAATAACACTTAAAAGATAACGAGATCATGATTTTACTCTCTTTATCATATTATTATTCATAATAAATATTCGAGAACTGTTAATTGAGTAAACCAACAATTAATAAAACTATTTGAACTGTAATAATGTTGATTTTAAATCGATTGTAAACAAATATTTACGTTGTATTGGTAATATACGCTTTATGTTGTCAACAAATTTGATTGACTAACCTGAAATAGGGGTTTCAGAAGAATTATTATCAGAAGTCATGACGACATTGGAAGGGGTGGATTCAACCTAATAATTATCAATTAAAGCAAATATTACATGGAATTTACACGGCAATGAATACCTGTATAGATCTGAAAACATCTTATTGGAAAACATTATTTGATAGTGGTATCACTGTTCAACTTAATAATACAATATAAAACACTTAACGTTAGAATCGACTGATGATCCTGATTAATCACTTGCATGAGACTAGTTGGGCAAATACAATCAAAATGATATGAACAGCATATGTGATATTAGTCTTTTGTCTCCTTCAAGATGGATATTGTCAAGAAATTCGGAGACTGGTTTATCTAACTGTACATCTGTATGCTACTTATGTCGATAGAGTTACAAAAGTCAGTGTGGCACAGACTGCAGTAAGGAAGTGGCACAGCGAGCAGAACAACCTCAAGAACGACCATTTTTAAAGGGAAGACGAGTGTGGTGCATGCTACTTATGTCTGTCGACATAAGTAGTATTTAACACCAATAAGGAGTGAGACGCATAGCAGCAGAAAGCTAAGAAGATCGAATTGAAGAAAACAGAAATGAAAATAGGAATAAATTGTAAATTAGAATAATCACAGAAAATGTAAAGAACAATTGATGGAATACTAGTATAGGGGTTGTGGAGATTATTAAGTTTTTGATTGAGATCATGAACCGATTGATGTTAGACCATCACAATTGAAAACCTGGAAGCACTGGACGGATGGAATATCTGCAAATGAAGTATTTTATATATGGATCTTATATTTTACCAAGATACTGTGTAATTTTGTATTAAAATACATTAATTACCCCCACCTGTATGTTCGTTCATTACACGTCTACTGTAACTATTTTCACATGACCATTCAAACTGGTGAATGCATATAGAGGAGATAAATTCACGGAAATAAGACGGCAAATTTGACATACACAGAACATCAAGTGAGTTTACAGCTTTCTAAGATACGAGATATGAGTCTTCGCTAACTTTCATAAGTAACCGCACTACATTATGTTACTCGTTCAAACCGAACCAAAGTCGAATCCCTTTGAACTGCACACATCGACAAAACTAAGTTATATAATGAAACAAAGTTTATAGTTTTAACAAGAATCAGAAGCTCTCATATGGCAAGTTGTATATATTCTTAGCAAAAAATGACAATCCATGAAAGGAAAGTTGTTAAAAATAGTTTTGATCTTGTATTTAATTAGTGAGAAGATTGTAACTATTGTTCAAAATCAACAGACATCATTGTACACATGATCATTTGGTATTGATATATTTATGTTCATTCATTAAAAGTGTAACATCATCTTTGATACTCCACAAACTATCCTAATTATTAGCTAGTACTCACTTGAATTCTTACATCGTATACCGCCGTGCTAAATAAATCTTAAGGATAAGCTATATCCAGTACTGTGAAGCAAAGCGCGATTACATCACAATCCATAATCTACACATACAAGTGTATTTCAAACAGAAAATACAGATAAGAAGAAATGAGCAACTACATCGACTGAATTAGCTAAGCGTAAATGATTATCTCTTGTAAAGATATGCAAATTTTAGAACTAGACAAGATTCTCTTACTACCAGCTAAAAATAAAGAAACAACAAACAACACTAATATATCTCTAAACTGCTGAGTGCTTTTCCAGTGCTCATTGAGAGACTGTTTTGATACAGACAAACCAAAAACACTGGGCCGTATAGGAGTCTATATAATGTTCCGAATCTTTGCTGAGTAACAGAAATTTCAAAAACCTGTAAGTTGATGAACAACGGTAGGATTTCTGAGAGATAAGAGGGAGATACAGTAAATTTGTAACCTGCATATATAAAAGAAACTTTTTTATGTTACTCTGATTAAAGCAAGATAATGTAACCAAGAAAACCAGAAAAACAAGACATGACATTTCAAGATAATGAATTTGAATTAAGATATTTTAAGAGAAAAATAACCAATTGACAACGTTCAATTTACCTGCATAGGAGCTTCGTTTTGACCAGTTTCAAGATTATCTGTATCCATAGGTGTAGGAGTACCTATAGCCGTGCTAGGCTTTGAAGCACCAACCTTTAAATGAAAATTTAGAGTTATACCTTAGTAATTGAAGACGGTGGTAAAAAAAAACATTAAAAGTATCAACAGAGCTAAAAACACTATCAAACGTCAAATGATAAGAAACGGTCTGGAAACTTATCGATAATCCTAAACATGTGTAATATTAAACCCACTATTGTACATGTGTAAGGTAAATCCCATATCAGTTTACGATTAACAATTTTAAGAACAAGATACTGTTTGTGAGGACGCACTAAAGATGATATCTAAATCGATTTCAGAATTTCGGTTTATAAAAACTGACAAATGGATCAGAATTTACAATTAATTAAGTTCGAAACCAGCAGACTACATATTACTATTACTTCAAATTATGCGAAAAGTTAGCAAGCATTTCATTAATCTCTAAAAAGTTCTTTATTGATGGAGTAGCAAGTCCAGCCGGTTTTCTTCTGATTAGCGTTTTTTAGAGAGTTAGTTTTCTACAGGATGGGGTCACTAACCCCATGCCCAACCCTCCTCCTTCATCCGGGTTTGGGACCGGCAGTTGCCCCCGGAGGGGCTCCACGCTCAGCAGAGGAACCAATCAGGATGAAGTGCTGGAAGTGCATAGAACAAATATTGAAGAAAGCACCTAACTGCGTTACAAGACAAGTCCTCAAACAGAATCCTCAAGGCAAAAAGGAGAAGAGGAAGATCAAAGAACACATTACGCCAAGAAATCAAGACAGACATGAGAAGAATGAATAACAATTGGATAGAACTCGAAAAGAAGGTCCAGAATAGAGTGGGTTGGAGAATGCTGGTCGGCAGCCTATCCTCTATTGGGAGTAACAGGCGTAAGTAAGTAAATAAGTAAAGTAAGTAATCTAACAAAAAACCAGTTGTTAGTACCTTCAAACAATGGTCACTGTCCAGTCTGTAATTGGTAAACTGTTATATTCCGACGAGAATTATGAATGGTAACTTTTGAGAACTATTTATGAACCAATACGATACATATATTTTTATTGTATAGTTGTTAAGTAGCTAAACTATGCATATTCATGTTCCTCTTATTATAAGCTTTATTTTGACACATAGACTATTATTATACGGTTTACCGTTCTTGAGTTATGCCCACTATATTAATTACAGTCTCCCACATTCACAGCCACTTTAGGCTAGAACGTGTACAAATGTTATTTCCTATTTTATGGCACGATGTAGTCTGTTTGGTTTGTATATGAACCCAGTATGTTCGAAATACATGATTCATATCACAGAGGCTGAGATTGGTGTTCTGGACTTAACAGTCAAGGTTAGGCAGGAAGAGGGACCGATAAAGACTTTCGACTGCTCGTACCGATTTTATGTGTCATTGGTCCGGCCGATAAATCATTGTTCTCTAATTGGCTGTATCATGACGTCATATATGGATAAGGGTACAAGGCCATAAGTTATGACATAAACGTACCTGAATTCGATCAAGAAGTTAACCAACTGAAAATTACGCGTATGAAGCGAATAAAATTTCGATGGGCACCAAAATAACTTTTCAATTACTGTATTAAATTTGCAATGGATAAGAAACATTAACTGATACACATACAAACTGTAAGCGATTACATGGGACAATAACTATGTGAAGTTTAGTGAACTAGACTGCAAGTCACACCTAATGTGCAAAGACTAGTGACATTGAGTAGGTATTTAAACTCTAAACAACAGTCCAGTGTATTGTATAGATCAAATTAGATTTACACCTGAGGCAAAACTCAGAAAAATGATACAGTAGAAAGTGTGCATATAAACTAACCTGAAGCATTAATGCAAGCCAGTCTCGCAAAGCTATACGGAGAGCCTCACGAGGTCTGTAAACAGATGCATATTGTCGTTTTCTACTTACACAGTCATCCTGACAGACAGACGGGTGTTCATTAATATCACCTGACTTTTGATCATCGATACCATCATCAATCACTTCGTTATCATCAGAAGCATTAGATTCAAAATCCTCACTTGTACATAGCATTTCTGTATCAGTTGATTGTATTATATGTTTGCTACCAGCTTGTCTAGATTAAAAAGTGAATAGCACTTACTTTTAATATTGCTTAATTAAAACAGACTACGAAAAAAACATATGATCGGTAATATGTAACTTTTCCATTTCTCCTTACGTTTAAAAACAGTATAACCGCCGCCTTCTACATAAAAACGAACGTAAGGATATCGAGAACAAGCAGGATGTGTATTTCAGTGGTATATCAGCAGAAGTAAAGCCGAGATAATCAACTTTTACATTACAATTCCAATAAAAGTCAGGAGTGCGTTCTATGTGAATTACACTCAACACAGAGTTTAAGAAAATAGTTGCGCTAATATTGAGAATTAATAAGCACATTTGAAAATGAATAACCTTTTTTTAAATTTGATCTTTTGATCGAGTAAGAACAGTCCAAATCTTAATACGTGACTGTGTAAACGGGAGTTTACTGTTTAAATTACTGATACAGACAACTGTTATAATACATTTCCTAATGCAGATAAATTACAAAAACCAAGTTGCAATTTACCTCGACCATTGTGCAAGAGTATGAAACGCCACATAGTTTGCTTCAAATTCACAATTCGGATTGGTCAGCACTCCTCTAAGCAAGCCTTGGCGACGTAAAGCTAAGGGTCGACCACTGTACGGTCCTATAAATACGCGACGCTGGTCATAATCATTAGCATGTAGATTGTCCCATAAAACGATAGGATGTTGTAGTAAAGTAGATAATTCCTTCAGCTCCTTAGTTAAAATTCGTTTAGATACTACAAGCGGACCGGTCCAGATTACAGCGATACCTTAAGTCAATTTTTAGGCATTAATTAAAAGAAAAAACATTAACTTTGAGAATTTACTAACTACATATATAAGAATGTTATTTTGCCCATATTTTCATATCGAAGACATACTGTCAGATCATAGTTGCTTTTTTCGAAATAGTAATGAAATTCAGACAAAAAATAATACCTAACTTTTACTGTCATCTACAATAACAGTCGCCTATGTGCTGTTCGGCTAAACAGCTCCATAAGAACTCGGAAGGATAGGGACAAACATCATTGCCTTTTCGTCGTTTCTGCCTACGCTCTCACCGACTGCAGCTCAGATGACGTGAAAGATGAATTTTACAGACATACTGATGGAAACAACGTTCTCGTTCACTGAATTCTCGGGCATTGGTCTCCTACCAGAAGGTCCACTTATCGACTTAGAATACGCAGATGACACAGTTCTGTTTGATGAAAACGCTGATAAAATACAGTCTTCTGGTAGCACTGAGCAACAATGCTAGAATGTTTGGGATGTGCTTTTCCCCCTTCTGAATGCAAGTCGTTGCTCCAGGACTGGTCTGGGTCAACACCTGAACTAAGGATAGGGAGTGAAGTAGTCGAACGAGGTGACAACCTCACTTATCTTGGAAGTCTGATCAGCCCTAATGGGTTGGTGTCCGACGAAGTCTCTGCACTGATTCGAAAAGCTCGTTGGGCTTTTGACAACTTACGTCACCTATGGTGAAGGCGAGATATCCGTCTATCATTTAAGGGACGAGTATACTGTAGAGCAGTTCGTTTAGTTCTACTTTATGACTGGGAAATGTGGCCAATAAGTGTAGAAGATACTCGTAAGCTACTAGTATCTGACCACAGATGCCTTAGAAATATTGCTGGCGTCTGCTGGAATCACCGGGTAAGTAATAGTGAAGTTAGACTCAGGGTATTAGGGAATGATGGTAAATCAGTTGATGAGGTTGTGAACCTTCATCGACTGAGATGGTTAGGCCACGTGTTACGTATGCATGAACACCGATTACCACGACGCGCAAAGCCGATTAATGTGGGAGACGGTTGAAGGGAACTTAGGGGCGGCCAAACCAAAACGTGGCATCAGTCCTTGAAGTCACTAACTTCTAGTCTTAGCCATGTTGGTAGATGCAGAGTATTTTGATGGGGTCCGCGTGACTGTCGTAACCAGTGGTTGGAGACTCTGGGTGACATGACTCAGAGTCGATCACAATGGCATCGGTGTATACACTCTCTATCTTCCCTTAAACTATTAGATTAAAATTGCTTTATACCTTTCTTTCCATTAACTAATCCTTTCTTCCTGTACTATATCTTTATACACAATCTTTCTTTTATACATTACTACCATTGAAATGACTACTCCTATGAACTTGGTGTTCATCTTGTTGTGCTAATGAAATGTGGCAGTTTGGATCGGTGCATGTATGTGCCTGGTCCTACGTTGTAGCTGACTGACTGACTGATATCTAAAATAAATTACCGGAAAGGTGAAGAAAACAATTTTGCAAATAAAACTGTACATCTATACTAAGATTGAGTAGCAAAGTACTTCCAAACGCGAATATATATATATATATATATATATATATATATATATATATATATAACGAACAAGATTTAGTGGAATCATCAATTTTAATGAAACTTTTAATCCGAATACTGCACATACAACCATATATTCAAATTTTTGGTGAGAATTTAAATGGATTTACAGAAAAAGCAAGAAATAATCAACAAAATTACAATCACAAAGTAAAACACAGCGGACGTTTTAATAGACAAACGGATAGCTTGCCAACGCCATATATAGCCCAAGTGCGTAAAAGCCAATCGAGCACTTTAATTTCGTGCTCAGATCAAGTCAGCTACTAAATCACTAAGGATAATGTTCAACACACCACTAGTTTACTTCATATGATTAAAATAGGTACTGACACAAATCAGCCCTGAGGTGAAATTTCGCAGTTGGGAGAAAAACTAGTTTGAAAAATTATTACGTTATTACTCAAGGTATTTAAAAGACTGTTTCGTCAGCATCTTGATCAAACACTATTTTATCTGAAAATTTTGGGTCAATGATTGAGTTTCTAATAAAATCATGCACTTGAAACATTAGACAAATCTGATCGGAGTTTCTGCGACAATGAATCAGTCGAATTGTCCGCTGAGGCACCTTACCCAGTCGTTCAGCACGTCTTTGAAAATTACTAATTGTCACACCGTCAACCACAAACTGTTTTACTGACACGAGGTTTTTGTTGCGACTACCCTGAGTTTATTGCGCAACAAGTATATCCACTGATTACAGTTCTGTAGCACTCTACGACTAATAGGTGTTTATCTTTACCCAGGCTGACTCCTGGTTTTCCAGAATAAACCGACAAGGGACAAAAAGCGTTAAAAATTCTGAGGAAATCCAGCGTTTATATGAGAGACGCTGACCAAAACTGAAAGAGACAGTATCTAACATTTTAATGACGTCTTGTGAGTGCAACCAATGTTCATTTACGCTCTGTGGTGAAATGAGCTTAAACTAGAAACGATAATAGATGTAAATAAGAAACTTATGAATTCATAAGACGAAATTTTAGAAAAGAGCAAGTTACAAATATATTACCTGGTGCTAAACAGGAAGCGACTGTAGCTAGATATTCTGACTTATTAATATTAGGTACTGCTAAACTTGCACTGTACTCCGTTGGACAGAATAAAAAGACATCTGGACATCCTAAATGATTGTAAATTTCATTCGCGAACATAACCTGAGCACGGGCTGATGAGTTAAATACCTCTCGATCTGCAGGACATAGGCGCGGTTCAATATCATCAAAAAGAAGGGCAAATGCACGACAACCAAGTTTTGAAACCTAAAACATCGATATTATATATGATGCGTATATACGGGTTATCAAAAAAAAAACGTAAAACGTTACTGACAAACACAGCTAACGATCTGGTAAGAATAAAAACTAACAAACGTCACGATACAGTAAAGAAGAATCAGTAGAACGAAAAGCTAGGAATTTGAAATAATAATTGCTGTGGAAAACTATATGTAAAAAATATCAGTCTCATGAAAAATTGAAATCCAAGAGAAGTGTTAAATATTACTATACTCAATAACTAAAGTAAAGCAAAAAACAGTTACATTTGGGCCACTGTGACCTATTTTGTCGCGTCATCTAAAACCCCTAACCATACTTCATAATCATCCTACGAACCCCCATCAAAATTTCAAGCACATAGCTAAAGACCAGCCATAATTTTAAAAAGTCCACACAATAAATAGACGCAAACATGACTTACTGACGTTTAGTACCGACAAAAGCAGTTGATTAACAAATATGGTGGTGTTGTATTCTTTGACTTGGGTGACCTAACTCTCAGGCTTTCATTGCCGTTCTAGACAACATTATCAGTGCCTAATTCACACAGAAGTGAGTCTTTAATAATTAGGAATAAATAGTAGGACTAATAATAAAAAGCAATGATAATGTCGACCACAACAACGAAAAATACCCAATTAAACCATCCGATTAAAAAAGTGCAACACTAAAAATGCATCTATCTGAGCTATAAATCTTTACCATCACTTCAGACAATTTACATGCTTATTGTCAAAGTTTGTAGAAATTAAGAACGAACGATTCAGAAGACAGTAATAGAGATAAACTATCAGCATATTGAACTACGATTCTAGAATGTGCATATATTTTAGCGCGCTTGATCACACTAGCTAGAGACAATTTTTAGGGATAACTTCAGCAAATTTTAATGAAACTCATTATGAGTATATATATATATATATATATATATATATATATATATATATATATATATATATATAAAGGGAGAGATGTTTTGTAATCAATATTAATCAACTTCAAAATACACCGAGACAGATCAGAGACAATCACTAATAATTTAAAAATGGGCATTTTTTCATAAATGAATACTTTAATGTTTCTAAAATACCACCAACAGATTAAAAAACGGCTTTTCTTCTTGGTTTGAAGTTGCAGTATTTACATAGTTCGGGATTCATCCGCACAAGTTCGTTTGTAGATATACTATAATTTGTTAGCAAAACAAACTAGATAATCCGTGAGAAAGGGGTAAAAGTAACACTAACGTCTGTAGATTTTAGGAAACAGGATAACAACTCTGACTAGTGCTTAATATTTCCTATCACTGATTAGCTCTGATGCCGTTAACATAGACTAATATTTGAGGGACGAAAAAAGATAACTGGAACCATATTTTTGTAAAAGATCCCCTGGTGATCATTCAGCAGGTTAAAGTGAATAGGAAGTTGTATGCAGGTTTTAAGAAAGCAGATAAACATCTCAGCTACAGTGCGAGTAGCATTCGTAAGAGCAGCCAATAGTTAAGGGAATTGCTGAATGTTAGTAATAACAACTCTAAAGAGAAGTCCTTGATAACACAAAACAGAAAGCGCAAGATATCTAATATGTCATCTAAATAGATTGGTTAATAAACTATTTTGCAACTCAATTCCCACGTACGGATTGATACAATGAGATTTGGAACCAGTTGTTGAGGAGTTAGAAAAGTCATCCACCCATCTAGATGAAGATAGGTGGGGTAGATGAACACTAAATATTTGAGGCAGTGACCTTAAAAATTTCCTAAACGCTCTCGAAGTCTACTTGTCAGAATAAACAGCTCTAATTACATCACCTTGAGTATCTAAGTACCTAGACTGATTAAATTTTCTGTAATTAGTGGGAAACCATGATTCTGTGTTCGGACAACATTTTGAAGGCACTCAACCTTTATGAATAAACCAACTGTGTATACGCTTACCTGATCAACTTTTTTCTTTAAAATATCTACTTCTTTAGCACTAGAGAACGTTACATCTAAGCCCGGTGATATAGCAAAAATAAAAAGTACTCCAGCTTCAGTGGACTCAGTGATCAAAAACTGAAGTTGCTGCTCTTCCTCTGGAGTGTACAAATCCCTCCATGACTGTCTGTGTTTTATATCATCCTTAGGAGCATATAGGTAAGCATTCATCCCCATTTGATTCATCCTCCGAAACAGTTCTTTCCGTTGGGGATATGTCCAAGGTCGACCATAAAACCCTAAGTGTAAATTAGATAGAACATAATGTATAACATACCTTCAACAACGCCTGTAAGAAATTCTTTATTTACAAGTGTCTTACTGTCTTCGCTGGCCATTTTCAGGATTGAAGCGCCGTAGAGTACAACCTGATCTACTGGCTGGAATGGTCGTATGAATGAATGTCCCGACGAGATAAAGTTGGGCTTCAACTGCACTGACACAACCGAATAGCAGGAACTGAACAGTTATCGTGGATCAAAGTGACACTTTTCCGATCAAAAAATATCTAAATTCTCCAACCGTTTTTAGCGTTGCAATAATTCCCTCCTTTATTTTGTTCGTGATTCTTTCAATAATCACCAAGATAAAAAGTAATATTTCGAAAACAAGACGACCACGATCTGAAACAAAACTAAACAAAAACGCGATTGTAGAACAGTTAAAATGACAGGTACTGAAAGCTTTGTTCAGATAAGATTACAGTGAAAAATGCATAAGCTTCAGACAAATATAGTGAGCTAGTGTGGATAAATGTTAATTGGCTTTCCAGTCTCCTAACTTATAAGTGAACTTAACCATAACTTTTATAATTCTATGTAACTGAGCAGCTGATTCTGTCAATGGATTTGTCTTCAGATATGACGTATAATAGGAGTAATTGTGATGCAAATCGCGGTGATTAGTCGACATACCTAAATAACAGGCCCTAAATAAATTAAGAGTGGAGTAAGCGCTTGCTTTATGTACAACCCAGTGGTCTGGTACTATCTTTTTCAATAAATGCTTGCAGTACCGATGTATTGCAACTTGGATCAACACACATCCCTGTAGAGTTGTACGTTATGGCTGAATAGCCTGCAGTAATGTCTGAAGGGTTTGTAAAATAACCATGGTGAATGCTGCATTTATTCTCATACATTTTACGTGACATGACAACATCAGTATCGCCGAGCTCATTTGGTACCCAAGTTAAACAAAACGTAAGTACGATTAATTTCTGTAGATTATTATTCATCTGGTGGCTTTTTCAAACTCCGGATGTGGCATAAGTTACTTGTATCCTTAAGCCACCAGTAAATTGCTTTGATGGCTGGCACCGTCTCGTTCTTGTGAACTGTATCCCAAACTGCTGGCAGAAACCAACAACATATACATCACACCTATCGTCAATAAAATTAATACACAAACTTCATATGTCTGCCTTCCTAGTTCTCATAGAAAATGATTCTTTTTTAACATATTCAGCATGCGACTCACAACCAATAACCCGTCGCTTTATCTAAACAGATTTATGATAATTCAGAAATGATGGCCTAATCAAGAATAAGTACCTACAACAAACAAAATGATCCTTCAAATTGGTCAACATGTTATTAGCACTGGATACATACCTAACAGATTATACATATTAAAATTATTGAAAGCCCATTAGTAAATCTCAAGAAAACCACAAACCTGATTAAATGAAGTGTAATAGCATCTCTTCCTATAACCCAGTCCCTAACATTGTCAACTGCACACCATGCACATGGAAGACACGAGAAACGCGAATTCTTTCCAAAAGGCACTACGTTTGTCAATTATTTAATTAAATATATGGAACAAGTCACACGATTTCCGGCAACTATCTAACGCTCAATGACATTACCCAAATTTACTGTTAAAACTAGTGTAACTACAATGATAATTAACATGTACATTAATTGTTGAAAAGGTAGTAGGTGCGCTAGTTAGAGTACAAGATATTTTCGAATCCCATCCAAGCCGGGCTGTAATTCAAAACCGAATAACTCCCAAGTGTATAGCATGAGTTACAATCCACACCAAATTTTGTGTAACAGAAACATCATGTCACATCATCTTTAGCATTTATAGACAATCTAATAAATATATTCTCCTTACGTAATCCTAAGTGTATATACATTTAGGACCACATAACCGGAATCAATGAAGCAACATTTAAGTCAATGTAATCGAACTTAAAGATAGGCTTCCTTCACATCCGACCAATATTTTCCTACTGCGCTCCACGCTCAAGAACCTTGATTTTGTTAAGTGATCCCTTAATTTTATGGAATTAACACGTTTGGATAACAAAAAACCCAAGGAAACTGGACTCTCACAACAGTGGGCCACCCCATGAAAACCAGAAAATCTTAAACTTACACCCTTTGTAATGAACACGGGTAAGTCAGAGGCTAATGTGTAATGAAGCGATTCAAACGACCAGTTTGTCTTACCTTCAGTGTCCTATCAATTCATAAAATGCGCGCTTAAAATTCAAAAGCTAAACATTGTTGCGGAAATTATTATTATTATTGTTACTTAGGTTCTGTGACTTGGTTGTAGAAGACTTTTTTCAACAACTGAGAGAAATTGCTCTCTATATGTTCTTTCTTAAGTGTGATCGGTAGAAGAGATCATGTACTAACATTTGATGTGATCATTTTCTATACATATGGAACTCAAGTTAACCTCTGCAATTCTTTTGAGAGATTCTTCAGTAGATAGCATTATTATAGCCTCTGGTAAGAATTTTCACGATCCTATGATTCTCACCAAGGAGATGTTTGAAGGGATTTTCATGCAACATATTCTTCTATCATAAAAAGATACCCAATTATGTTCATTTTAGTACCAAGATGAATAAGTCAGCGGGATTATCAGCGGTATTATAAAAAGAGGTCATATCTCCTCCTACAATTCTCTATTGTGCAAATTGCAAGTTTAGAGTTTACAGGCGAGTCCAATAGGGTTTATGTCATAGTCTGAGTACCTTTTAAGTTGCTTGTCTTCGGACTCATTCCAAGAGGGCAGTATTCTTTTTAGAGCAAGGGAACATAATTTGAGAGCTTCTTTTAGATGCGATCCAAAATAAACTATAAAAAGTTTCGAGCTGTTTTAAAATCAGGGTGTCTGTTGTTCTGGAAATAAACATTAAGGCCTTGTGGGATGCAAAATGTCACTGGGAGAAGGCACCAAAGTATGGAATGAATAGAGCATCACTATTATTTACCATAATCCTTCTTCAGTTACCAGTAAAAATACTGAGGTTTTTTGTTCGTCCAGTCTTACATCAAGATATCAATCGGACTCAGTTTTTCTCCCCAACTCTTGACCGGAAACGGTCACACACCCCGTGAAGAAGCACCTTACGTAGGTGATCTGTTTATAGACCAAGAAAGACGGATAACCCCGACCGGTATCATAACTATTATGAAAATTCTTCCAGAAATTGCAGAAAACTCTGAAATTTTCAGAACTCAAGATGAACCGACGCGAAAAAAATTCGAGGAACTTCCTAGCCGGCACGCGTTAACGGCAACCGTAGCCGGTGAATATAGCCGTCTGTTGTACTTCACAGATGTGATAACGAAAGCTCACTATCTCATCGCTACTGGCGCAGAACTTAGTGTTCTTCCAGCAAATTCTAAAGACCGGCTTCACGAATCAGTTTTAAACTTACAGGCGGCAAACGGAAAGCCTATCGCCATATTTGGTAAAAAGTACGTTTACCTCAATGGGGGTTTACGTAAACCCATTCACTGGATTTTTGTTGTTTCAGATGTTTCTATGTCAGTCATTGGTGTAGACCTCCTACAGCACCACAATTTAATAATCGATACGCGCAAACGGAGGCTAGTAGACGGAAACACTAATTTCTTTTTTCGGTTCCAGTCACAATTAAGCACACGAAAGACCCACTTTATCAACCACTACTCGATAGGTATTCTGGAACATACGAACCGCAACCGAAATTGCCGTGTGTAACCAGAAACGTTACACATTACCTTTATTCTCTAATCATGCCAAATAGCCCCTGCAAATCTGAGGTTGGAGAAAAAGAATTCGTCCACATGATAGACTTAGGAATCATAAGAATGTCAAACAGCCCGTTGGCATCTCCGTTGCACATGATCCTTAAAAAGGACAGCAACGATCGGCGTCTAGCTGGTTACTATCGGCGATTGGGTGCAAAAACCATTCCAGTTCGTTAGCCGTTGCCTCACATTCACGATTTGACAGCTACCTTGGACATGTCTTTGAGAAAATCAACTTAGTTAAAGGGTATAACCAAATCCCTATGGCTACTGACGACATCCGCTATCATATCTCTTTTCGGACTCTACGAATTTTCGCCAATGACTTTCGACCCAAGAAATGCTTCTCAGACTTTCCGAAAGTTTTTCGAGGTCTCAACTTTGTACATGCGTATGTTGATGACTGCTCGATAGCAAGTCCGGACAGAAAATCCTATCTCTTGCATCTGGACCTTATTTTCCAACCATCCCTACAGATCTCGGACGCTAGTTCGAATCTGGACTTTTCCGTTGTCTGACCACACTGTTAGGAATCATTCGTTTCCGAACGGACGCCTACCACCCACAAACAAACTGGTTGGTAGTGTAGAATTATGACCTACTATGATATTAGTACTGCTCTAATAATAGACCTAATCCTAAATTTGTAGATTTGTCACGATATAACTGCCTAATCTATAAGATCTTACGTGGAAGTCACATCATCGACCACACCAACTCACTGTATCGTATCAATTACCAATACATGATGTAGAACAAGGTTGGGCTAGAGAAAGAACAATATATTTAATATGAATAGAAGATATAAAGTAACATTGAGATGGACCACGCCTGCATGGACGAGCCATGCCATCCGATCAAACCCAGTCCATTCAATTCCTTGTTCGCGCCTTCTCCATTGTTAGGTATTTCTCCGCGTTAAATATTGAATATCTATTTTCTGAGTAGTCTCGTGTTCACAGCTTTGTGGATTGTGTGGCTATTGTCCAATGCCACTACAGTAGAACGTTTTCACCGACAACTAAATGCTTCACTATCAGCTGCAAACGTTTCACAGTAGACCGACGCTCTTACACTCGTCTTACTAGATATTTGCAATGTAGTGAAAGCTGACATTGGATACACTGCGGCTCAACTCGTTTATGGAACGACACTTCGACTTCCAGGAGAATTCGTGGATCCTTCATCCTCTTCAATGAACATGGATCTAACATACTACACGAACAGGCTTACAAACGCAATGCGTTCAAATAAACCTGTTTACACTCGACCGCAATCAACTGATGCTTTTGTTCAACCTGATTTACGATGTAGTACACACGTCTTCGTACGTCGAGACTCACATCGAGGACCTCTCGCATCAGCATACGAAGGACCTTTCGAAGTTCTTCAGTGCAAACCCAAGTGCTTTACAGTCGATAGGAACGGAACAAACGATAGCATCAGCACCGACCTCATCAAAGCAGCGTATCTAGAAGGAAACTCTATCCATATCGATCTTCCTTCGGCACAACCAAAAGACACGACTATTACACTTATGATACCTCATCCAACATATACGATGATACTTTTGCAGTATCTGAAAGTAAACTCAAAACAACGCGTTCCCGAAGGAGAGTAAGATTTCCAGAACATTTAATCGATTATAGAACGTAAGACACTAGTTAACATTTCGTTTCATCCCGATTTTTCTGTCATATATATATTATAAAAAACCAATTTTGATATGCTTTCATTCATATCTTTATTAGAAAATTTTTTAATGCACCTAGCTGAAGGTGCTCGGTCATGCATCCGCACCAGATCACGAGTGGAAACGCCGTGCTCAGCATCACCTGCAAAAGAATGGTAGAACGTTTAATACGGCCTAACTCGGGTGATATATTCAGAAAACGAACAAGAGGGAAGAAAAGTGGTTGGGTTAGACAGTATATTTGGCATTAAGCAGATATGGATGAACATGAAACTATTGAATCACCTCTAGGATTGGAAACCCATGAGATGGGTAAGCGCATAAGGCTGATTCAGTTCCGTCTAACTAAAGACACATGTTGAAATTCAAAAGGACGTACTATGATTTCAAGTGTTGTTAAAACCATATATTTCCTGAGAATCTACCTCCTCGCTGATCACTTCAGACCACTTATTCATAGAAAATGAGGATAAAATGCCACAAGAAATATATCCTTGAAAATGGGGTGTTGTTTACATGACCCAGACAAAACCACTAGAAGCAATTTAAAATAGATTCAACATGACTGATGACATTCATGCTTCGGTTGATCGTACAAAAAATCGATACACTGTATTGTGATTTTTCAGGCAATTTATACGACGTTAAAATGAGAGTCTATGGACAACAAATGAACCTTACTAAGTCTCTTTATCGTCTAAGTATTTCAAACATCATATTTGTAAAGTATTGAGCATTGATGATTTGGTGTCCGATGCGCTATATTTAAAGCTACTAGATTATTCATCAATTTCCCGTTGTCACAATGGGGACTGACTCATCGATGAAAGCTGTTGAGGAACAGTCTGGCCCAAAGAAGGAAGAGACTTCTAAGGATGACCTGGTAGTATTTTTGTCCCCCAAAACATTATTTTTAGTCTGAGGAAGACAAACAGCTTCAGGACGAGCTAAATATGCTCGTGGACAGACTTGAGGAGCCGAACCAGGAACTACATAAGCCAGCTTTAGAGTCCATGTGTACATTGATAAAGTCCTCTACAACGTCCATGACATCCGTTCCCAAGCCCCTAAAATTCCTGATGCATCATTATGCCAAAATTAAGTCTTTCTACAACACTATATGTAATCCGGATACGAAAGTGAGTTTTACAGTCTGATTACTTATTTGCAGAAACTTTGCGCTGATGTCGTATCCGTTCTGGGCATGACTGTAACTGACCAGCCTGAAACGCGTTATGATACACTGACTTACAGACATCTTGGTTGCCAGGGTGATATCGGAGCTTGGGGTCATGAGTATGTTCGTCACTTAACGAATCAAATCGTCGGTACTTGGCAAGAAAAAGAATACGATTCTCTAATGGATAATCCTGAAGGTATTTGCTGTAATTTTGAATAAGTCTTCTTTAGCCACAAACGAAATGAAAAAGCATCGAGAAGACTGCCTCTCTCTTGTTCACCAAATAATCCCCTACCTGATGGAGCACAATGCAGAGGCTGAGGCAATTGACCTTTGTATCGAAATTGAACAGCATCATCTTCTAGAGGTGTATACATCAAGTTTAAACTATACTCGAGTGTGTCTTTATCTGACGAGCTGTGTAGCTTATCTGCCTACACCAGATAACAATAAGGTAAGTTGACAAGTTCTAGGCGGATTTCTCAAGTCATCCTTTGAACTCTGCTGATGCTATGCTCCTGTTAACTGGGGATCTTTATTTAAAGTATTTTTCTAAACTTAGCTTTTAATTTACCAGTTTATTCATCACCCATTATGTTGACATTCACATTCATACAAGTTGATTATCAGCCAACTTTACTTTTTTTTGTATAGGCAGGATCTCTGGATAGTTGTTAGTCTTGGCAAGTATTCCGTTACGGAAGTTAGCTATTCCTAGTTGATGTATAAGCAACTAGCTTCAATATTTTTTGTGGTTTATGATTATTCGTGTTAACACACGCATTAGTTATGTAACTTAGTCATGATGAGTGGATGCTGTTTATTGACTTCATATTATCGTGTCATCTCATTTACCACCCCTGTCCATACAATTCTTAACTCAAGCGGAGAGTTTAAGTGTGATGTCTTCAGTTTCATACCCAATTTTAGGACTATCCGCTGATATTTGAACCCGTATGAATATTTAGTTGAGGCTGTTCCGGACATGAGAGATGTCATGTTCTTATCAACTGGTAGATAATTTACAGTTGACTTATCATCGGATAAAAGCGAATGTCAGGTCCTTTTTTGTTCAAATCGAATTATGTATGTTAAGTTGCTATGTGGCTACTGATCTAGATGCTTCAGCGTCACGTGCACTATATTGAGGTGTAAGGTGATGGTTAGGGGCAGTCGATAAAGAACCGTGAACATAGGTTTCGTACTGTTTGGGACTCATCATAAGGGTATACTTGTATCTGATGGTAAATACGCTTCCATATGCCTAATAAGTGGGATATTTTAGTTCCAAGCGTTACGGCTTTGTCATTCTTCTTCATATATACAAGAGTAGTTCCTAATTCTTCACCGTTTGGTAAATATTCAATTTCTAGCAACGCTTTCCAAACACTAAAAGTTTTAGTTTACCATCATATGTATATAAAAGATTTGCTTTCATCCATTTGCTAGATATATGGATATCAATGGATTTTCATCATGAAGCACTTTTATTAGGCTGAAGTATTTTTGGTTACTCGGGTAGTTACTTTTCATAAGGGAATTTTGTGCCTTGCTAAACACTTTATATAGGTTTGTAAGATTATCAATTTGATTCTAAATTCCGTCCTTTTTTGTTGCTTATCTCAGGTACTTCAGTATGCAACTATTTTGTACCGTAAATTCGAGGATTTGGGCAATGCTATGCGTTGTGCTTTACGTCTAAATGACATGAATTTGATCCGCGAAATATTTTTAGAGTCTGGGAAGGTTAAAACAGGTTCTCGTAATTATGGACCAGCTATCCAACGTCAACTTGCCTATCTTCTTGGCCGACAGAACATTGTATTTCCAGATGAGGAATGTTTAGCAGATGAGGAATTAACAGAAATGCTTTGGAATACCAGGTTATCAGAACACTTCTTGTCTCTTGGTCGTGAATTAGACATTATGGACCCAAAGGTGAGTATTATCCATATATGTATAACAATAATCGTACTGCTGATAACATGCTATTATTTTTTCCCTCACAGTTGTCTTCTATACTGAGTATTTTCTAATTTTACTACTTCCTATCATCCCCAAAAAGCCTCACTGTTTGTAGTTAGCCATCTAATCGTTTAGTCCAAAACATGGTTACGTTTTTATTTTATTTCATACAATATTCGTGTTTAGTTCACTGCGTTTAGACCATTCCAAAACGTGCATTTCTAAGTTACTATCATAATTGTAGACAGTGCAATGTGAATACTAAGTTAATTTAAGAAGTACAATATTGTTGTGCAATACATTTTAAAAGCCTAACCACATATACAGTGTGTAAACTCACATAAATCCGAAGATCCATTGGGGGTTGTATGGAACTCTTAACCTTATTCATTTGGCCAATAAGATTTTGAGTAATACGTAATTGATAGGAGGATAACTGTCTTAATGTGCTAGGGTAGTTTTATAACATCCCTATTTGTAACAGATTAGTGACGATAGTCTGGTAGTTGAATGCAAATGTTATTGGTGTTATACTGCAGGCCGATCGAATTAAAACAAATGTCACTTTTCACTACCGCTAAACAACAATCATTTATTTCTAATAACTACTTAAGGGACCAAGAAATGATTATAAGCAATCTTTTGTTGAAACTACCGAATATCAGATGACTAATAAGACCATGCATATATGTGCCTGGTCTTACGTTGTAGCTGACTGACTGACTGACCGTGCATTTCTAGTTTAGTATTCGTCAAAAATTGACCATTACTTGATCCATATTACTTAAATAGCGTTTAAAGTTTTGAGTTACAGTATCTGCGCATTTTCATCAAGGAAATGATTCAGGATAAAACCTATGGAAGTTAGCTACCGGAAAACTAAGGGAGCGTGAGTAGATTAGTTTTATCAGCTTGTAGGCCAATAAGTCAATTTCGTTTAAATATTCATTTTCTATTCTAAGTAAATACTCAGAAGCATCTGAAATTGAATTGATGTGACATATTAAGGTTTCGGTCAGATAGTTGTTTCTCATAGATACCTCGTACTTGTGCTGACCCATTTGTTCCATGTTTTACGTTAATTACGCCTGATTAGTGAAATATCTGTATCGGGAACATCAGGGGTTTTCATGGGTCTGTGAATAAACGATCATTAAATCTATCATTTTTCAGTTTCTGGCGTTAATTATGTTTACGTATTTGAGAATTAATATCAGTGAGCAATCATTCACGAAGAGATCAAGCAATTATTTGTTTAGGATCGTGAACAGTAAGTAAATGATTGACTGACTGATTTCACTTCTTGGAAGAACCATTGTAATATTTGAGGCCGTTATAAACTTATTGAGGTTGTTGACTCTAATATCGACGAGCAACGATGTAATAAATTTTATTGACCGAATTCTTAGATCTTCATGAACTTATTCGCTTTAGTAAATGACGGAATAACGTTGGCCGTATAAGAAGAATGTGTTTACCCAAAATATTACTCATTATGAGCGTTAATATAACCCAAAAACAATACTGTAAGAAGATACAATGGATAAGATAATGAGTCTACAGATACACAAGCACACATAAGACAGACAAAATTGATACGGATACGAATAAAATAAATAAATGTGTTCAAGGTCAATTTTCCTTATGAATAGAATTTATGAGGAATGTAAAGATAACTCAATAGTCTGAAAACCAGAATAAGCTTATACGTAGATTTCATAGTGTCATAAGAACATAAGCTAGTGTGAAAATGACTGTCGTTGCTGTAGCAATCACATAATTTTGGAAAACCGAAATGCATAATGAACAAGCACAAAAATTAGATTTTACTTGAAAGGTGTATTTCTAAGTACGTAGATATCTTTAATTCTGTGACGGCAATGCAAAGTGTATATTATATTTGAAAAGCTGTTTTAGCCTTGAGAAGTGTAATTATTACCGATGACAATGCAATTACATTAGTCCACTTAGCTCCAAGCTTATATAATATTTTTTCATTGATTTTCTTGCATTGGCATAAGTTACCAGAGGATATCTACAAATCTCATTTGGAGGCAGTCAGACCAACTTTAAATGCGGCCACTTTAGACTCGGCACGAGCTAATTTAGCTGCATCCTATGTGAATGGACTTGTAAATTGTGGTTTCGGTAAGGAGAAGCTACTACAAGAAACGCCTAAAGAGGTCCCATGGTTGTGCAAACAGAAGGAATTCGGTATGTTTTGATCCCATATTTTTTAGTCCCACGTGTTTTTACTATGGTTAGTGTCCGCTGTTCGCTTTGTTACCTATTAACAGAGTTTCCATATTCTTTAGAAGTCGTCACACGTTTTTGATTCAGATATAATTAAACACTTTTTGATTCGCTTGTTTTGTGTGATCAGGGAGTTTGATCAGTGTATATATTTATTTGTTCTACATTGGTCATATTTGTCCTATTTTTGATTGTGTGGTCTATCAGGTTAGATGATGTAAAAGCACACCCATATGCTGCTTATATATGTTTAACCAGTCATCATTCTGATTATTACATGTTGTGAAAACTACCTTTTTTGTTTAAACTATATTTCTAAAATATTTCCAACTTCTTTCGCAAACCATTTTGTATATCTTATTTCATTTGTATTAGGTAAAATGAGTACTGTGGCTACGCTCGGTTGGGTACTTTTATGGGATGTTGACACTGGGTTGTCGCAACTTGATAAATATCTTTATTCTGTAGAGGATCATACTCGTGCTGGTGGTCTTTTAGGTTGTGGAGTTGTCAATTGTGGTGTTAAAAACGAATGTGATCCTGCGTTAGCTCTCCTTGGATCTTATGTAGATTCTGACAAGGACGTCCTTTCTCGTGCGGCAATCATCGGTCTCGGTGTAGCTTACGCTGGTTCAATGAAAGCAGAAGCTATAAGCACTCTTACACCTGTTATCCTGGATATTAATACAGCGAAGCTTCAACATGCTTGTTTGGCAGCACTTTCAGCAGGCCTTATCTCAGTTGGTTCACTTGATGGGACCGTCACTTCCACTATCATCCAAAGTTTATTGGAAAGACCCGCAAGTCATTGGAGCAATGTTTTTAGCAAATTCATGGCACTTGGTTTAGGTTTAACGTGTTTAGGCCGACAGGAGGAAGTTGAGGTTATTCTGGCTTCTTTAGAGGCTGTATCTGAACCTATGAAATCAATGGCTCACATGATCTGTGACTTTTGTGCTTATGCTGGTAAGTGTGTATCCTTGTTTGTCGAGAACTATTTTGGTTATTTTTCTGCCAGTTATTTATTTTTCATCCACATTTGCAATTTATTTATTTTTCAATTTTATTTATTTAAACACATAAACATTGGTACAAGGAGGCATCAAATAGATATGTGCCACATAAATTATTTAATTTGTGTGAGGGCTGAGATACTGCCCGGGTGCCTAAACCGAAGCAGGTTATTTGCAATCGTAATCATATTAAGATAGATAATTTATCTGACAGTGTAAATAGGCTTTATAACACGTAAACGAAATATCGTTATTATTATTAGAATCCAAACAGATTTCCCATCACTTACTTATATCAAACAGTCATTTAAGAAACCAAAAGAAACAACTTAAGCTTTTTCATTTTATTTTAGGGCAATATGATTCGTTTTGGATTAATCATTTACTGAATACATCGCTTTAGCATATTATCAACAGTCTTACTTATCAAATCAACACGTTTCACGTATGTTTGTAGGTGAATTTGCTACTCGTAAAACCGTACAAAAAGTGTTATTTTTGAACAAATTAACATAGATTGTCGTTCCATGATGTGCCAGCAGTATAATCTGGTAGATAAACTAAATATGACTTATTATTTAGCTTTCTCACATTGGTTAGCTACGCTGTTTATTAATACGATTTTTATGCTCATTTATTTTGTAAAGGCAGTGGGAATGTATTAAAAATTCAAAATTTACTGCATATCCTCTCTGAAAAGTATGAAGAAAAAGAAAATACTGATAAGGCTTCCAATACAAAAACAAAAGAGAAAAAGGAAAAGTCGAGTGAAGCTCGCCGTGGAGGGGGTCGTGGGAGAAATCGTCGTGGTGGGTCAACTAGACCGGCTGCTACATCTACTACTAATGACCATAATAATGGACATAATACAGATGCTCCTACAGCTATGGACATTACTGGTCAAGTAAATGAAGACACCATTACCTCAGAAGAGACAGGCGTTCCCCAACCCATACCAATGGATACGTCCAATGCAGAAGAGCCCACACCACAGGAAGACAGTACATTTGATTTTCATGCTCATCAGGGTCTAGCTGTTTTGGGAGTTGCTATAATTGCTATGGGTGAAGAAATCGGCCTAGATATGGCCTTCCGAATGTTCGGCCATCTTGTATGTTCTTTTGTGCCACTTGGATATATTAAGTATCTAAATGTATATGATGTTATGTGTAAATATTTGTTTCTGCTTTATCTGTCCTAGTTTCAAGCATTAAGTGTTTAAAAGTTTTTTGATACTTGATACGCTAATCCCGTTGCTTCTAACCGAATAACAGCTGAATTTCAAAATCGATTGCGAGTCTAGTAGATAAATTGAAAAGTCCTTATACATACGAGATTACTTGTATCCTCTTGTTTCTTGCTTTCAAAAATGTGATTTGCATTCGGCAATAAGTATAATCATACTAAAGAGTATTTTCAAATACTAAACACAACTTATGAGTAAAATAAGTAGCAGATAACAATGTCTTATTAAGTTGTAGTAAACAGCAAACGAAACTCGGGTGAAGCTAATGTGTGTTTAGGATAGTTAGGTTTGTCAAGTTTAAATACACAGTATAGCCACCACTATGATAAATTCAGTGGTTTCTACTTGTATCATCGACTGACCTTGCGAATAGGCGTTGGATTTTCACTTTCAAGTCCAGTTCTGTCTAACATTATTCTAATTCCAATAGTTAGGTAAATTTACATATCTGTCAATTCTCATATAAGTCAAATTAACAATGTATTAAAGCAAGTATAAAGTAACTATTTATGATTAATGTTATGTACTTTCTCAGAAAAATTCCCTGTCCTATAAAAAAATGTCAATTCTGGTGAGTGTATGTAAGTTAATGAAATTGGTTTTAGTTATAAATATTATAGACATTTTTCGATAACAGAAAATGCTTTATTTTAATAATTACTTTACAGTTAAGATTCGGCGAACTTCCAATTAAAAGAGCTGTCCCACTAGCTCTTGCATTGTGCTACGTATCGAATCCTCAGCTAAAAGTATTGGATACTTTGAGCAAATTTAGTCATGATTCAGATGCAGAGTTATCACACAATTCCATAATTGCAATGGGCATTGTCGGTGCAGGTACGCTCATTGTGTATTTTTGGTATAGAAGTTCAGTGTTTTATTATTTGTAATATACTTTTCTTACTTTCGTCTGTTACTCCCGATGGAGCATAGGTTGCCGACCAGCATTCTCCAACCCACTCTATCCTAAGTCTTCCTTTCTAGTTTTATCCAATTGTTATTCATTCTTCTCATGTCTGTCTCCATTTCTCGGTGTAATGTGTTCTTTCATCTTCCTCTTCTCCTCTGGCCTTGGGAATTCCATGTGAGGATTTGCCTTGTGACACAGTCGGGTGCTTTCCTCAATGTGTGTCCTATCCACTTCCAGCGCTTCTTCCTGATTTCTTCCTCCACTGGGATCTGGCTTGTTCTCTCCCACAGTAGGTTGTTGCTGATAGTGTCTGGTCAACGGATCCTGAGTATTTTGCGTAGATTGCTGTTAATAAACACTTGTGTCTTCTGGATGATGGCTTTTGTAGTTCTCCAGGTTTCCGCCCCATACAGTAGAACTGTCTTGACATTTGTATTGCGAATTCTGGGTTTGGTGTTAGCTGACAGTTGTTTTGACTTCCAGATGTTCAGTTCCAGATATAATATCATATACCTTCATAATTCTAATTAAAGATATATAGTTTAGTTTTTAATGCTGATTTATCTTCCCATCTATTCTTTAATTCTTCCTCAAATACCTCAATTTTTCATCACTCAGTGGTCACATTATCAGGGAAGTTGAACCGTAGTATCTTCAGGACTCAAAATATTTTCGAACTGTTAACCAGTTCGAGTGATTGAAGTTGGAAATTAGTTAACTTCCAAGTGGTAATATCTCTCAATAAGTTAACATTAACTGTGGGGGACGGTAAAGCAATACATGTTTTAGATACTGCTTGAATTCATCCCTTTTTTTCAAACCGCATTATCCTACTTTTAGTCATTCTCACTATCATTTATACTACTGTCGCTCCAACTCCTTTTATTTATGTTATTGTTATCTCGCCTTACTAATGTGTTATGGTAACATAGGTTGACGCACATATGTAATTCAGACTTTCTTGTTTGAAACCGATTCTATCTATCGGTGAAGATCTGTGTGATATACCACCTAAGATGTATCAGCCACATAAAATATGATGAATTCGTTTCTCTTAAATACCTTAAAAATAAGTTTAAGTGCTAATTGGTCATTTTAACGACATATCTCTCAAAGTTATTAGAACAAATGACGTTTTCAAGCTCATGGGTTCTCTGTTAACCAAGCCGTTCACGCGTTACAAATATAGATTGCTAAGACCCATGATAGCTTTTTCTTTTATCAGCACTAAAACTAACTGGATGAATAACCTCCATAGTATTTTTGTATGTTATAATCTTAGTTGTTTATGGGCATCTCTGATCTTAGTTACATTGTGAACCTTATTTGTCTTTTACTTTAATTTTTGTTGCCATTTCTTTCTTTTCAGGAACAAACAATGCACGTTTAGCTGCTATGTTACGTCAGCTTGCTGTTTATCATAGCCGCGATCCATACAATTTGTTCTTAGTTCGACTTGCTCAAGGCTTAACACATCTTGGAAAAGGGACACTCACACTGAGTCCTTGGCATTCTGATAGATTCCTATGCCGTCCTGTTGGGTTAGCTGGACTTCTCATACTATTAACATCTTGTCTGGATATGAGGATGACATTTATGAGTAGACACGATTACCTGATTTTTTATATTACACCTGCAATTCAACCTCGTTTGTTGATGACTTTCGATGAAGACTTGAAACCTTCGCTTGTGACTGTTCGTGTAGGTCAGGCTGTCGATGTTGTTGGTCAGGCAGGAAGGCCGAAAACCATCACAGGATTTCAGACGCATACCACACCAGTTTTATTATCTCATGGTGAACGTGCGGAACTTGCAACCGGTGAATATTTACCTATAACACAACTTCCTTTAGAGGGTTTCATACTTCTCCGAAAGAATCCTGAATACGAGGAAACAAATAAATAATTGTTTCTTTATTCCTTTATCTGTTATCGCGATGTAATAATACAGTATTCTATTTCTACATCTCATTTTTTCAGAAATACAATTCAATTTTCTCTTGTTCTTTTCGTTCTACAGAATATGATATACTAATTTATTTTATTAAACCTTATAATAACATAGTGTAGGAAGTATTAGTATTTCGCCAGGTTTTCATTTTTCCACATAAGAAGTGCTTTAGTTTATTTGCAAGGGTCCGAGTTCCATTATACTTTTAGTGGCTATTTCTCCACTTACGAATTTTTGCAGTCCCCTGTGTTCATCTTTATTTTCCGATGTTACTGAGTGCAATTCCTACTTATTCGTGAGCTGTTCTAAATTAAAACTTAAATGGTTTAATAGCTTTTGATCACTTCATTGATGGCATTTTGTCTATCATATGTCAGTCACATGTTCCGGTTAGGCTTTATTCCCAATAGAATGAGTAATTTTCTATGTTCGTGTATAAAGTATTATTTACAATAAATTTCTTTATGAGACCATTCTGTGGTAAAAAATTAAAATAATAACTTGATAGTTAACATTAAGTTGAAGAATCATTTCAAGATTTATTTATCTAGGTTTATATATGGGGATACTTTGTCGAAACATCGTATCTGTTGAAAGTCCTTCAATGAACATAAGGAAGACCCTCCTTGATTTGTTCTACATTTCGGTGTTCCAAAATGCTTTAATCTGTAAGGTCTGATCATGAGAAGTTGTTATCTACACTGCTAATATATATCTGACTAAGAAACAGATGTTTCCCCGTGTAAATCTGACAAATTCCAGATGAAATCACTAAAACACAGCTGACTTTTCCGTCGATATGCATTAAATACGCATTATGGATAACTCCGATAAGTTTATCAAATATTTCTGTTGTTGGAAAGTAATTGGCGAACTAAGCGATATCAACGACCTGCTTTAAACTGTTTGTGAAAGGCGGTGATGTTCTACATCTCCAACACTTCTGTAGTGTGAAGATAGCAGGCTTAAAGCTTCTAGGAACTATGAGAAATAAGAATGAAAGTAGAACATACCTCCTCAGCATCAGGGTTTGAATGTCAGTTGAAATTGTAGTCATAATCAGAAGCATACTGAAACATCGCAACTTCAGTTTGTGTAGAAATTATATGGAACTGGTGATATTCCACAGAAAGTTAGCCTTGTAACTACTATGCGACACCCATGGTTATCTTTTACGCACTATTTGTTGAAGAAGTACAAGTTGAGTGGAGATGAGCTTTAAACACGTTACAATTGGATTGGATGTCACACCTTACCTCACGGATTTCCGTCTCCGGCGGTAAGGCCCTTTGAAGAACGGAGCTAACACATCAAAAACCTTCCACAAAAAGCCCGTTAAAAAACTCCTACAGAAAGGCCGTGCGCGACCAGCCTCAAGCAGTTGTCCCTTGGGCTCTGCGGTCACGCTCCCAGGTTGTCAAGACCAACACTAATCCAATTTCCTCTTTAGGTTCCTCAAGAAATAACCTTCCACGGTGTGGGCGGCCGGGAAATGACATCAGCCCTCATACCCGTAACAGCACACGAGACAAAGTTGGTCACATTCAAATCCTTCCTACACCTCCTAATACCTCTCTTATCTCCATGACTAACCCTCCTCACGTCCCTTTATCGCCTTGCGAACGATTCGAGTACGCGGAACGTTATTCCTGGTCTCCTGAAACTACACGTAGGAGCTTTTAACGTACGAACACTTTGCCAAATAGGACAGCAGGCTTCCTTAGCTAGGTCTTTAGAATCTCGCACCATCGATGTGTGCTGCGTCTCCGAAACGCGCATACGAGGTCCGAGTAGCGTCATTCATTTAACCTCACCGTGCCAAAATAAAGAACCGACTCGATTTACGCTTCGTGTATCTGGAAGCCCTGATTCTGCTTCCCGTGGCCTCGCCGGCGTAGGTATAGCATTGAGTCCTAGGGCAGAACTAGCTCTCTTAGAGTGGATCCCAGTAGACAGTCGTTTTTGCGCTGTCAGACTGATCGGAACAGTAAGAATCCGGAAAGATAGGGACACTCGTCGTTGCCTCTTCGTCGTCTCTGCCTATTCTCCCACTGACTGCAGCTCAGATGATGAAAAAGATGAGTTTTCCAGAAAGCTTTCGGACCTTCTCCGAAAAGCTAGGCGCTCGGATGTAGTAATAGTGGCTGGTGACTTTAATGCTCAAGTAGGTAAACTAAGCGATAGGGAAAGACACCAGGGTGGATCTTATAGCATCGTGTCTCAAAGAACAGATAATGGCGACCGTCTGTTGCATCTATGCTCAGATAACCGCCTGTTCCTTGCAAATACTAATTTTAAGCATAAGGAAAAGCATCTTTTAACATGGCGACCTTTTAATTCGTCCCAACGTTGGGCCAAATTGATCACATCGCTATCAGCCACCGATGGAGGGGCTCGATAGAAGACTGTCGCTCATTCTGGAGCACATGCTTAGATTCAGATCATGCTCAGGTACGAGCGCGTATTTGCTTGCGTCTTACTGGACGTAGGAAAGATCCTGCAAGGAAACCTCTCAGGGGCCTACTTTATCATAGTCAAGCTAAGAGTATATTTCAGGAACAACTAGGAAAACAGTTAGGCAGTCATATAGGTGATGCCCACCCCGAGGCAGCATGGAATATCCGAAAAGCTGTGGAAACAGCAGTGATATCTGCTAGTAAGGTAAACCAGAAGGTTAGGGAGCAACACTGGATCTCAGAAGCATCTATCGCACTGATAGATGCTCGGAAACTCATTCCACCCGGCTCTGAACATAATGAAGAGCGGAGTCAGCTTAAGCGCAAGCTGACAAGAAGTCTACGCAATGATCGTGAACAGTGGTGGGTAGCGAAAGCAAGAGAGATGGAAAAGGCAGCGGCAATAGGTAATAGCAGACAACTGTTCAGACTTGTTAAGGAAACCGGTATTAGGAAACCGACTATTAGCGAAACAATTTCAGAGAAAGATGGACATATAAGTTCTCGATCCAGGAGATTGGATCGATGGGCCTTTAGCCACACTTCGGTTTCCCAGTCAACCTGAATTGCAAGTTAGTGTAGGTCCTCCGTCCCTTTACGAAGTTGAAAAAGCCATAGGAAATGTGAAGCGAGGGAGAGCAGCAGGCCCTGACAGGTTTACTCCTGAAATTTTTAAGGATGGTAGTCCAGGATTAGCAGTGAGATTAACTGAGGTCTTAGGTAGGATCTGGGAACTGGACGTAATCCCAGACTAAAACATGGCACAAGTCCATGAAGTCACTGACAAGTGGACTGAGTCATGTTGGTAGGTGTAGACTACCTGGTTGGGGACCGCGAGATGATAGCAACCGATGGTTAGAGACCCTGAATGACATGGCTCAAAATCGTTTGCAATGACGCAGGTGCATTCACTCTTTGTGTTCTCCCAAATTTTGATCTCCTTATTCATCCTTGTCTCTTATTTTCTCATCCCAAATTTATTTCACTGTATCATACTCTTTAAATAACATCTCCAAACACTAATTTTCCTGATTACTGCTTATACTCTTGCTACCTCTACCAATACGGGATTTGAATCTAACACTGAATATTTGTGTTAAGGTGGTGTGGCAACTCGAACTGATGTACGTACGTACGAAGTTCTACGTTGTTACTGACTGACTGACTATTTGGAACGATTATTAACGCGAGACAAAATACTCGAATGAATATTCATTATACCATTCAGTTACAGGATTGCTGAACAAAGTCCGCACCGTCAAGTGAATAATACATCAAGTAGATTAACTAATAATAAACATTAATCTTGTAACCTATCAAGAAAAAGACTGAATGTGTCTCCTACCAATCAGGCATTTCAATTACTCAAAAAACTACAGTTAACAACCAGTAGAAACTTCATACAACCAAGTTGTGAAGCACTAAGTAAATGAATTGTTTAGATGTATGAGCTAGCTACATGTTAAAATATAGTGCTTTCGTACCGAGCAAGAAAATAAATCCTAACTAGGGAAATCAAGATGAAAGCCAACGGACGAAGAGGTCAACTCAAAGCTAAATGGAAACAGTAACGATTAGTTGTCATCCCGGAACCTGAACCATTAAACTACGAGTCCACTAAAACATATGGTCAGCATCCAATGTCGAAAACTTACAGAGCTATTTATTTTGTGGATTTATTCACCGCTACAATCTATTGGGCTACCAAATAATAGGCATGAATATTAACTAAAACATAATCACACTTCTGCTCCTTATTAAACCATTCCATCTATTTGCCGACGACCCACATTCGCCTTTCAAGTCATTTATGATTCCCTCCAAATAACCTTCATGTTTGATACTTGTGATTAACTCACTATATCGTAAATCATCTGGTTTCTTCAACCGCATTGATTACCCGAAGTTATATCATACCCGCAAAGCAAATGGCTATGTAAACAAAGTGTATCGTGTGAGATATTTCATCAGTGAGTGAAAGGAGCGTGTTAAGAAATTACTTTTGATGGTGCTTTAATTATGCTCTATAAAGTTCATGGCATTTATGTTAAGAATTTTTCGCTTATAGCTGAGCTACGCTGAACTTGTCCGGCAATAACAAAAGTGTTATATCTAATTAACAAGGCCATAAATTGTAAATAATATGGTTTTGAGGTTAGATTTGTGTGTCTTAAATGTATTTGAATGAAACCGAGGGTAGATTTGGTATGATAACTAGACGTATTCGAAGTTTTGTGTTTACTAGGAATTCCCGAAATAATGAAATTTAAGGCAGGTAGAACTAGATGATCATAAACGAACGTATTGTACTTGGAATACGCAATAATCAGGGAATGAAATACAAATGAGTTATTATTTAGCATAAATACCACATTTCGTTCAGTTAGTTGTTTGCAATCTATGTACTAAGTTTGATAATCTTTCAGTAACCTCGTCCTAATCACCCACCTTCCGTAATTTTCACAGCATTTATTTAGAATAATTGTAATTCTTCCAAATCCCAGCTTAGACTGGTTGTGTAAACTTCCTGCACGACTTTTTGTGTTGTTTCTTAATCCCAGTACGACTATGTTGAATGCAGCTGAAGATGTGCAAGTACTCGGAGTTTGACAACGTATAAACCAGCAACATCTTTATAATCAAAATATATCAACCCAGTGAAATCAGAAGTCAGGAATGAAGGAGTTTGAAGATATATTTGGAATTTTATCGGTATGTCGAATGAACGTTTTGTCTAATCTGGCTAATGGTTGAAACGGATGTGTAGCACGACATACACACTCGTAATCTGGTGCGGATACGTGACAGCGTCTGCAGCTAGATGTGTCATTTAAAACTAATGAGGTCAGCACCAAATGCGGAAGCCTTACAGGATTATTGGTTTCGGGGATTTATTCACTAGAACACATTAAATCATCTATGTTTCTTACTCATCCAGCAAAAACTAACGTTTCTACCGATATTCATGTTCGCACATTTGTCATTTCAAAATTTTCAAAGATGCTTGTTGGTTTTGTGAAACCTGTCTGCGCACACACATTTTAATTGTTTTCATAAAGTTCTTAGTCTTTTTGCATGCAACTCAACAGACACGAGGGACGCACGAAATAATTTTGAGTGTCTCACTTGTCATTACAGATGCAAAGTTTGTGGCTCAGACATAAGTTATCATGAGAATTTACATTTGTTCATATTTGATACTATCATTTTGAATCTTTTCAGTGTCCGAATCTAGTTAATTATTCTTCAATAACTTTTTGAAACAAGCATTCTTGGACGTCGTATTTCATTTTATCTGCAATGAAAAAATAAAACGATTTGTAACCATGTACATTTGATTATCTGCACTTTGTATTGCCAACTGCATTGGAATATAGTTTGTATTCAACCGACTTTATTAAAGCATATGGCCGATATTCAATTGGGATCCCCAACCTAGTGTTCCAACAGCCTTAATATCGACTTGACCCTGTAAATTACTCGCTTTAAACTCATATAGCCTGACAAACCATGTATTATATAAAACTAGCATTTGGTAACTTTGTATAATAAACTCGTGGTCATTAGCTGTCATGGTTTTGACGTGTTTACATCAAGTTACATACATACTTCGCCACTTCATAAAGACTTGACTCAACGATCATTATCTTCTAAGTTATTTTCAGTTCACTATCACTAACATGTCGAGACCAAATTCCATCAGTCATATATTCTTTTTCAAGTGAATAGTTATGTTACCTGATTACTGACGCCTGTTACACCTCGTCGAGGAACATAGGCCAACCACCAACATTCTCCATTCAACTCCGTCCTGATCAATCCCTTCCGGTTATTTACAGTTGCCAAACATTCTTTGTTCCTTGGTCTTCCATTCTTCCTTCTCCCTTCAAGATTCCAGGTTGGCGCTTATCCCGTGATGCAGTTTGGTGATTCTCTCTATGTATGTGCTATCCAACTCCAACATTGTTCTCTACCACAGTTGGTTGTTGCCGATGGTATCCAACCAACGGATAATGAGTATCTTGAGCAGGCAATTGTTTATAAGAAATTGTACCATATCGATGATGGTTGCGGTAGTTCCACAAATTTAATCTGCACGTAGTAGAACTGTCTTGACGTTCGTATTGAAGATTCTGACTTTGATATTTGTTGAAAGTTGTTTTGAGTTCCGTAAGTTCTTCAATCGCAGAACTGATATTCTTGCTTCAACAATCCATGCCTTTACATCAGTATCACATCATTCTTGTCCGTCAATGATGCTGCTTGGGTAGTTACGTGAATGTTTCCGCCTCTTCCAGAGTTTCTCCATCAAGTGCGGTTGAGTCTGTTTTTGAGGATCTTCTTACTTCCCTTGTGTGTGTTGAGGCTTACTGATTCACAGGTTGCTGCTACATTGGTCGTCTTCATCTGCATTTTTTCATGCGTATAGCCTAGAAGATCTAGGTGATCTGTGAAGTTCAAATCGTCTAGTTGCATGCAAGTTGTCCATTGTATTCCGGTCTTCCAAACTGTCTGGACATTCATGTGCATATATTAATTTTTGCTCTGTTTGTTATAAGGGGCATCGACCTGGTGGATTTCAAAGAATCTCGGCTCTCACCATGAGGTGTCATAATCCTCCTCAACAGAGGTCCCTCAAATTCCATGTCAGAGTTAAAAATGTTTTGATTTGTTTAATCTGGTTGGCGCTTTTTAGTAAGGCTGTTTTCCATAGAATGTGGTGGTTAACTTCCTGTTCAACTCTCTTCCTTCACCCATGTTTGGGAAAATCAGAAGCCCTAGAAGAGCCTAAGGCGGAGTTGAGTAGTTATGTATTAAATTCTAAGTCGAAACTCTTATGTCATTACATAGTAAACATACTCTAGTAACTGACTTGCCACCGGTAGACTTCGTTCCGTACGGATCCATTGCTGAATACCACGAACGACACCTTCGTGCTTTCTTCAGTTTCTACGGGTTTGTTACGCCATCGAGAGATGTAAATGACGCCAATCCAATTGTAAGGTGTTTAAAGCTCATCTCCACTCAACTTGTACTTCTTCAACAAATAGTGCGTAAAAGATAACCATGGGTGTCACACAGTAGTTACAAGGCTAACTTTCTGTGGAATATCACCAGTTCCATATAATTCCTACACAAACTGAAGTTGCGATGTTTCAGTATGCTTCTGATTATGACTACAATTTCAACTGACATTCACACCCTGATGCTGAGGAGGTATGTTCTACTTTCATTCTTATTTCTCATAGTTCCTAGAAGCTTTAAGCCTGCTATCTTCACACTACAGAAGTGTTGGAGATGTAGAACATCACTGCAGGAAACCTGTGTGGATGATCACAGGGCTTCTCGATGTAGACAACAACAGCTTCACCTCGGCTCATGTCGGATTTACACCTTTCAGTTAGTGCGTAATATGAATAACCATTTTGTCGTATTCAGGTACTATTACCGATTTAAGACTATACAGTAAAAAGATACTGTTTCTACGGAACTGAATTAGCAAGAATAAGTGCAAAACACAAATCGCAACCACTTTCGCATGCATCTGTCCACAGTGTCCAGTCGATTGACGCACGTCGGCTGTCTCTGATGTTGAAGAGGACTAACAAACTGCTCAATATTATATGAAGCGCCCGCCGGGTAATCTGGCTAGAACCGAATGACGTTTCACCGGTTTTACAAGAGAATATGACCTCAGCATGTTGTATTGCTTGTAGTTCCCTTCATTCACCCACTTAGGTAGTAAACTGAACGTACCAAGTTACCATTTTACCATGGGAAACAGATAACCTCACATGACAGTACGTGTAAACGTATTTGAGGCTGATGATGTCACAGGTATTCAGTGTTTGACATCGCTTCTACCAGTAACACCTTCTAATGTATTTCGTTCCCACCCAGAGAAATCAAAGACAGAGTCAAGGAGATTGGAAGAGTATATTTGGCGATGACCAATATATCGGAATTCTCTGATCTAATCTGGCTAGCGATTGCGGTTGATGTTGAGCACGGCGTTACCACACGTGATTTGGTGCGGATGCATGACTGAGCGCCTTCAGCTAGATGAGTCCACTAAAACATATGGTCAGCACTCAATGTCGAAAAACTTAGAGCTATTTATTTTGGGGAGTTATTTACCGCTACAAGGCTTAAATCAGTAGTTACTACAATCACTCCCTACTGAATCCTTCGAAAGAAGGCTCAACTGTCCCTATGATTTAGAAGGGTAGCAGAATCTCAGTGTTTCTCATACTTACATTCCGGAAAGTCTTGTACAAGGATATTGATGACAATCAAAAGTTGTGAGTAAAGAGAGGTGAAAGTATACCTGAGTAACGGTTGATGTGACAGATTGTATTCAACGTAGGGTCGTTCACTGTTATGTACTCAAACGTGGTCTGATACTGATGCTCGACAGAGCCCCTTCTGCTGTGCTCAGTAGAACTAATGAGACCAGCACCAATGTCGGAGACTAACAGGAATGTTTATTTTGGGAACTTATTCATCTTTACAGTTTGTAGGCACTGTAAGGAATCGCTTTTGTTATTAGCTAAATCTTTTGCCCTTCAGTCCTAGAAGGAATATGACAGGAATTATGTCTTAACAAACAAGATCTTTCATTTAAGAGAAAACTTGATATATTCTTAAGGACTAAGGTTAGTATCCTACAATGATCCACCAATTTATTTTTCCTCGTTTATCGTTAATATTCCTAGGTTCCTGCCTGATGATGATCCACTGCTACTAGAAACGGAAGCCTGTTAAGCGAGAGCTTCTATTCAGTCCAACCATTTGAACCATTTGAACTATAATAATTGAGTATTTGATACTTCATCAACTAAATGAGGGCATAAAACGACTAAAACGACAAGCTGTTCAAACTGTTAATATTACTTCCTAAGGTTTATAATCATATTTTAATTCATTTTGAATGTTGTAATATTGGACCTATCAAAACATATCCTGTTCTTTTCGAAATTAAACGTTGCAATTACAGGCTTCCCGCCAGTTCCGTTAAATTTCTTTCGTTTCATTAATAAGTTTTCTACTGATGTCTGTACAGTCTGGCAAGTCAGCATCTGTAGACTTCTGGTGTTGGGATGAAGTAGTTCGCAAGACTAAATCTACAGTTCTTGTTCTTGAGTCTCTGAGATCAGAACAACAGCAGATATCTGCTGATTTAGATTTAATAGCGAATTCGAAAGACGCCGATCAGCACGATATTTTATATGCCAAGGAAAAAGCATCTTCTTTGGATTCAATCATTCAAAAAATTTGTAAAGGTTTGGATGATGCCAACGTGAGTTGTTCCAAGGTATATAATATTTCTGTTAAAGGTTGTAATATTATTTTGTGACTACCTTCAAAAAGTAGAAGCAGAAAAACAAAAGTTACGGTATCAGAGTCGTCGGCTTTTTCAGGAGAACTCTTGGTTGAGAGATGAACTTGCGGTTGCCCAAGAAGCACATAGGAAAAGTGAACTAAAGATAGTTCAACTTGAAGAAGAAGTAAAGCATCTTCAATTTAGCAGTGAATTGCGAAAATATGACTCTTCTGAACCCGTGGAATCCTCGGGACTAACCGATGGTGAGAAAAATAATGATAAAACTGCCCTTGATCTTGGGTTTCCTCCTGATGATAAAGAAGAAGGAGATCAATATGGTAAGATGATTTTGTAATGAATAGTGTTTACTCAATGTCATATATTTGGATATATGAAGTTGATTCTAATAGGATAACCACGTAGAAGGAAGGACGAAATTTTAAGGAATTATTTAGAATGCTGTTTTGTTATGAGTGGGGTCTTAACTGTGTATACTCCTCAATGGTGGAGAATATTTGTTGTACAGGATGAGGATTTGAAAAGACTATCAACGGTTCTCGATTAAACCCTCCAACTCAGAGAACGGAGTTTTATTCAACATTGTCATGAAGTTAGATGTTGAATACACCTAGTTTAAATGAAAAACGATTGGTTTTGGACAATGTATTAAATTTTTGTGACTTAGTGTTTACGGTGCACCTAATGAGTACCGAGTAACACTATAACATCGATAGCCTGCCTGGACTTTTTGTCGCTTAATCTTATTGCAGTTGTGGTTTCGTCCTGACAATTTTGTGTCTAAAGTTCATAATATCATTCATGGTCAGCTTAGTGGTAAGTACCTAATCAGATTTCTAAACTGATCAACTAACAGTCACATTCTGTAGCCTCCTGTGCGAATTTTCTCAAATTTAGGGATAGAACATACTCAGCTCGAACCCGTATGTTTGAATTAGACAAGAATCGTCACTAGATGTGAACAACCTATACTATGTCATACAGTCAGTCAGTCAGTCAGTAACAACGTAGAACTTCGTACGTACGTACATCAGTTCGAGTTGCCACACCACATTAGCACAGAGATGCAGTGGTCGATTCAAATCCCGTAGTGGTAGAGGTAGCAAGAGTATAAGCAGTAATAAGGAAGATTAGGGTTTGGAGATGTTATTTAAAGAGTATAATCCAGTGAAAGAAATTTGGAAAGAGGGAAAAAGGGACATGAAGAATTCAGAAGATTAGAATTCGGGAGAACACAAAGAGTGAATGCACCTGCGCCATTGCAAACGATTTTGAGCCATGTCATTCAGGGTCTCTAACCATCGGTTGCTGTCATCTCGCGGTCCCCAACCAGGTAGTCTACACCTACCAACATGACTCAGTTCACTTGTCAGTGACTTCATGGACTTGTGCCATGTTTTGGTTTGGCCGCCCCTAGCTTTCTTCCAACCTACTCCTATACCACCGAACATAGCACGTCGAGGCAGTCGGTCGTTGGGCATACGTAACACGTGTCCCAGCCATCTCAACTGATGAAGTTTCACTACGTCATCAATTGATTTGCCATCCTTACCTAGTACCCGTTTCCTAACAACTGTGTTACTTACTCGATGGTCCCATGATATACGAGCAATGTTTCGAAGACACCTATGATCGAATACTAGTAACCTACGGATATCCTCTACTCTTATCGGCCATGTTTCACTGCCATAAAGTAGGACGGAACGAACTGCTGCGCAGTAAACACGTCCTTTGGTTGATAGACGGATATCTCGCCTACGCCATAAATGACGCAAGTTGGCAAAAGCTAGTCGAGCCTTCTGTATCCGTGCTGAGATTTCGTCACACACCAAACCACAAGGGCTGATGAGACTTCCAAGATAAGTGAAGCGGTCGACACACTCAACTACTTCACTCCCTATCACTAGTTCGGGTGTCGATGTCATACAGTAGTCACAATTCATTGCTTAGAGGTTCTTTCACATTCAAACCGTGTAACATATACACTTATAACGTACTGTTTGCGCTTTATTCATTGGTTTTACTCTCACTGACCATGTGGTAACATAAACCATGAAGTATAATTACCGTTTGATATGCACTGGGACATAGTTAATGGAACTTCGATGGAAAGTCAAGTAGGCAATGCACTACACACTTTTCCCTCTTGTTGTCTAACCTATTGTTAACACAAGGTAATGTATGGGAAACATTTTAAAATTAATGGTTGGGAAATACATATATGAAGTTATAATATCGTACTTCAAAATTTCCAGTTTTCTGTCTAACGTGGCTGTATCATTTGGTGGCTTTAAAATGACTCGGGGTATGAGACCAATCCCTTGAGATATGTGAGTGAGTTAGTGATTTCAGGAGTCTTTTACATTGTAAACTTATAACTCACCCCACTAATACATCACAGTTTTGACTCCTAGTTTTCCGGCGACAATTTAGGTAACTATATCCTCAATCCATACACAATGGTCTTAGCTCATAACCTTGGATACGAGCATGCATTTGATCAGTTGACAACTCATGTTTGTGTTATGCTTATCGAGCCCAACTTTGGTAGTCCTGTAAATTGGTTTTTATATTCTGGCACCAAAGTTTCATTTTATTCCAAAGCCAATGTGTAGATTAAATTCTTATATTATAGAAGTAATTGGAAACCACCTTGTTGTGGACCGAGAATTATTGAGTATCTGCTGCATGACTGAAGGAGAATTTTTTCAATCTCTTTAAAATTGCTATCATTCATAATATTCATGTTGATCGTATCTTTTGAAGTATATAATCCCTCATGAATGATCTGATCCTTTTGCTGCATGTTTATTTAAATATAAGGTTCAGCGAATTTCTAACCCAAAACAATGATAAAAGACGATCGTGTGTATGCTTATTGTTGCTTTATTCTCTTTCCAATAAATTATTGTCTTGTGGTTTCTTAACTTAGGAATGACACAGAGTCAAACTGTCTCCATGTCACAGGGTGTTCATAATTACGAAATACCAACGCGTTTGCGAACACTTCATAATTTGGTAATACAGTATGCTAGTGAAGGTCGTTATGAAGTAGCGGTCCCACTGTGCAAACAAGCTTTAGAGGATCTCGAAAGAAACAGTGGACGCAATCACCCTGATGTTGCGACAATGCTGAATATTTTAGCTCTTGTATATCGGTAAGTAATACTTAATTTACCACAAATTCATTGTTTAGTGATCAAGGAAAATACAGAGAAGCTGCAACATTATTGAATGATGCCCTAACGATTCGAGAAAAGACGTTGGGACCTGAACATCCTGCTGTATTTTCTCCATTTTAACCTTTATGCATATCTTTTAGGTGGCTGCGACTTTAAACAACTTGGCTGTGCTTTATGGTAAACGTGGAAAATATAAAGAGGCGGAACCATTGTGTAAAAGGGCTTTGCTAATTAGGGAGAATGTAAGTCAATTTTTCACGCTCGTTTAACTTAGTAACTTTTGTTTCTTCGAATTTTCGTGGATTATTTATCTACTGCAAAATTCGTTAGTATTAAAATGAGATAAATTACCATTCCACAGAATGTGTACGGATGTGTAAATTCATTGGTTTGCTAACTTCCTCTTAAATATTCAAGTTTTCATTTCATTGTTGGATCTCTAAAAGACATAACGTTATCCGTTTATTATAAGGATATGTTAACTAATAATCTAAAAGTACTGTCCTTTGTTCATTTGTTGGTTCACTAAATAGGTTGTTGATTTAGGGGGGTACTTTTAAACATGATACTGGTATTGTTTATATTCGCTGTACTAAGACTATTGTAGGGCAGTATTGTGTTGTTGCCCCATAGTAATAGTTAACAAATGACTTCTTTCGTTCTCGAAACACCAAAATTCAACCTTTCAAACTGTATTTGATGAAGTTGTTGCAATGCTAAGCTTACGAAAAACTAACAAATAAGTGAAAATATTATAAAGTGTTAGTGCGTGAACAGCCAATCTAAGTGGTTATGATGTATTCAACCTTAGATGAGAGAATACATTCTTATCAGTGAGATACATTTTTCATTATTATTAGTTACTATTTACTTTCTACCTTTATGTCCCGATCGTTGTTGCTACTAGTATTTGACCACAGATGCCTTAGAAATATTGCTGGCGTCTGCTGGAATCACCGGGTAAGTAATAGTGAAGTTAGACTCAGGGTATTAGGGAATGATGGTAAATCAGTTGATGAGGTTGTGAACCTTCATCGACTGAGATGGTTAGGCCACGTGTTACGTATGCATGAACACCGATTACCACGACGTACAATGCTGACTGGTGTTGGAGATGTTTGGAAGAAAGTTAGGGGTGGCCAAACCAAAACGTGGCATCAGTGCTTGAAGACACTAACTTCTAGTCTGAGCCATGTTGGTAGATGCGGACTATTTGGTTGGGGTCCGCGTGACTATCGTAACCAATGGTTGGAGACTCTAGGTGACATGGCTCAGAATCGATCACAATGGCGTCGGTGTATACTCTCTCTGTCTTCCCTTAAACTAAGAGATTAAAATCGTTTCATATCTTTCTTTCCACTAACTGATTCTTTCTTCCTGCACTATATCCTTATTGCAATCTTTCTTTTATATATCACCACCTCTGAATTAACTACTTTTATGAATCCGGTGTCCATCTTGTGTTATGGCAACTTGGACCGATGCATAAATGTGCCTGGTCCTACGTTGTAGCTGACTGACTACCTTTATGTAGACTCGTTGTACTAAGCCTATATTTTCTTGTAGTTTCAATAACTACACGAATCAGTATCATATCTTAGTTTGGCCATCTCAGATCAATACGGTTGTCTATAAATCCAAACAATCCACTAAACCTTCAAACAGTCAGTCATAATCAAAGCGGACTAACAAAAGCGTTGGCCAACCCAAGTTACCATGCAACATCAACAGGAATAAATGAAATTGACTGGATCAATAGCAAATGAATCGTATTGATTGCAGTAGCGCTAATAGTGAAGATGGAATAGAGAAATATGTAGTAAAAAAGTACTTGGAATCTAAATCTAGAGAAAGATAAACAGTGAATGTACCTGGAGTCTATCTACCAATACGTCTTTTTGTCAAATACGTATATAGATAAATCAAGGTGACGCACTGATATTTGGGACTCAGTGTCTACTCAAGAATAACTCAAACTAAGAACTTTCTGACGACTACAAATACACACTTCATGTTACAAACTGTATCCCAAATGTCACAAATACGGTACTGCAAAATAAATAATGAATATTCAATAATTCCAGATCTATTTAACACAGTATCCGAAATGATCCAGAGATCAGAATAAGAGTTGATGAACAGCCAAAACGAACAACATAAACCAATATATCTGGCTACAAATAAAGCTCTGTACTATCAGAACATAAAAGATTGACAACCTCATCAACTGATGTTCCATATTTCTCCAGTGTCCTACTTCTAACCTTGCTAACAAGCACCAATATAGAAATAATAATTTTTCGACTGACCAGTATGAAAGGGGCAAAGAACTTTAGTGTTTAAAAAAATATTTAATATTATTTCTTTATGGCTAAACCATCTTTGAACTCGAGTTTATCAGGAGATTCCTGAATAAAAGATCAAGTAAATGTTTTACTGCCATAAGATCATATGGTCAAGAGGTATAGGGTCCAACCCTGGTAAGCATTTCTAGGCCTAAATTATAACAAAAGGTTTAATCAATACACCCTTAACCAATTATATTACTACTTTTTAGGTTTTGGGGCAGGATCATCCGGATGTTGCTAAACAGTTAAATAATTTGGCTTTATTGTGTCAAAACCAAGGGAAGTATGAAGAGGTGAGCTTGATTTAAACTTTTTCTTCACTATCTCTGCTCACGTTTAAAAACTAGACTATATCATTATTTTGTTTTTGTTGAATAAATGCATTTCGTCTCTCGTTTGTATAAATTTTAGATAGAGAGTGCTGTTTACTTCACTACTACATTCACTTATGTTTCAAGTTTCCAATAAATTTTATAACACGAAAAATGTGAAAGGAATGAGCATTAGTGGAAAGAGAGAAAAATATACATCAGTACATGTAAGTGTACAACGTCTAAGACACTATCTTCACGGTGTTACAGCCTCTTTGAGTGTTGTGTCTTTCAAGTGTAACTTGAAGTTATTGAACACGAAGGACGGCTTTTATCCGAATAAAATTCTTAGCTACTCTCCACTGTTAGGCATAATTACTGGGATGAGGATGAAGATCAAGGTTGAGCGGAATGATGTTCTTGTTATGGAAATTTTCTCAATAAAAGTAATTAACTCTTTAACAAAGTTAATAAACTGATGTAAGTATCCTCGACACCGACTTGAATGTTTTGTACTCAAATTATGTATTTCATTTCATCGATATTCATGTCGACGCATCGTTGTTGGTGCAATATCCAATTATGGTATTAATGCATCACTACGTGTTGTGTGTCATGGGTTACAGTGAAAGTCGAAATGTCATTTACTGACTAAATGTCCATATAGTAGACTAAGGTACATTTTTTGCGATGGTTAGTAACAGCACCCCACTTCCCAAACCAAAGGAGGCGGAGTGGGGTTCGAATTCACGATCAGTGTTTATATCAGAAAATGTCACAATAAACTATGTCCAACCTAGTTTTCATTGTGTATTACTCGTTCTGTTTTAAGGGCCGTGATCGGATCTTTTCATAATGGACATTGAAATTGGCAACTATTGATAATGCACTTAGAAGTAGAAAAACTCGATTTCTAAAGCTTGTAGTCTTCAATAAAGGGTCTTGTTATCAAGTTACAGAAGGCTTCATACAATAGAAGCTACAACCATTTAGTTCATTAAAGACAGTGAAGATTGTCTTCTAGTCAAACGATGTTAAATAGTTCCCCATGTTCAACTGTTCTTGAATTCAAAACATTTCATTCCCTTACTAGTTCCTTCATTTTTTTCTGAGTATAAGGTTTTGAATAGTATTACCCAGTTGTTACACGAAGTTTTCACATAAAATTTCACTGAATTGGTCTAACTTATCCTACTTTACCTAAGATATTTAAGCGTAATCCAGTTTGAAAAAAGTTCAAGGAATGCCTGGTTGAAAGTGTGTATAAGTGGCCAAGTGACTATGAGACTTGTCGTTGCGAAAATCTGAACATTTTTGTGTATTCCCTGCACATACTTTTAGTTTGGTAAAGTGAATATCGTTTGCAACTGATTGTGTATACTTAGTAGATAAATATTCTTATTCACTTCGGGATTTTTAACTTCAGTGTTAGTGATATTATAAAAAAGATTTGAATTGTCTCGTTGTTGATAATCTTAATTCAATTATGGTCTGTCTTCGTTGATATGTGTGCATCCTATGCATATATCCTCAATACAGTAACTTTTCATCTATCAGTCTAATAACAATTGTTTACCTCTTCTTTTTCTGATTGACTAGCTGTTTTATATTGTCCCCACTCTATATTTTCGTATTTAATATTACTAGGTGGAGTTGTACTATCAACGAGCCTTGGAAATTTATATACACGATCTCGGACCAGACGATCCAAATGTAGCTAAAACTAAAAATAATTTAGTAGGTTTTCTTTTTTCCTGTAATATTTCAAATGCTTTAAATCGGTTAAAATGTTTAGTCTTATGTGTGTCAGTTTGTTGTTGTTTCACCCTTATCTAGTAATAACAATGCAAGGTGTGGCTGTTTGTGCATTCTTTTTATCTCTCTCTTATGTATTTTTATTGTTCACTTGAGAACTGTATGCCTTTTAGAAATTGAAAAAGTATATGTATATACGCATATATATCCATATATGTGCATATATACGCCAAACTGTAACCATGTAGTCTTGAAGTGAACAAAGTAAAAATTGATTTTCAGCATTATGACAATGTCTCGCATATCGATTGCCTCGATTACTGTTATTAAATTCTTAATTATAGGGAGTTACATAATTTAAGCGGGCTCATTCAATAAATAATACTTTTTCATGTTTATTGTACTTTTTCATTCAAGAAGTTACATGAAATTATTTGAAGGTATGATCGAAAAGAGAACTGTAGCTACAGACGGTATTTGTTTACATAGTATATTTCTTATGAGTATCGATTACCTTTTGTATGGTCGTTGAGTAAATGATGTTTAGTTCATGTAGAGACATGACATCGAAAATCTGCAGTACCTGAGGCAAATTGTTTATATCACTTTACATACATGCCTAACCACCACGTCAGAGATAACATGGATAAGAGTAGAACGGGTAGGCGTCGTAGTTATCAGATAAATACATCGAGTCATTTAACCAAGTCTGACAGTTGATTTGAGTATACTTTGTTGTGACTTTCGACCGGTTAAATATCACGTGATTTATTCACCAATCAGAACACGACTTATACAATCTTAACAATGTAAAAAACCAATAACATTTTGACCGGTATGAACAGCCTAGCATCCTTATTGGTCCTTGTTCCTGTCTAGCCCTGCCTGTTGAGACAAGAACGCTTATAACAGCTTTCATTATACGAATCATTTATTTCAGACATAATTTGTTTATATACAAGCGAACCAGACCACATCATATCTTAAATTAAAAAAATAACAATTGTATAAGATCAAGACAAAAAGTGGTTGTGGTTGTGGGAGACTGGAACTAATAATTTGCGGATAACTTGAGAATAGTAAGTCGCATAATAATAGTCTATGGATCAGAATAAAGCTTATAATAAGGAATATAAATACACATGATCTAGCTACTCGATATTTATATGATAAGATTATATGTATAATATTAGTCTATTAATAGCTCGCAGAAGTTACGCATAATTTAATTTTCGCTAGGATATAACAGTTTTGTCATCACGGTCTGTAGGACAACCGAACTCGGTAACTGGAGATTTTGGTTGATATAACTCAAAATCATTTTTATAGTTAAAAATGGCTTCTAATCATATTCATTTTACTGTTTCTAATAGCAGTATTAAGGAAAATTATGAGTTAAAAATATGTTTGGTCTTTTTTCTCTGTCATTCAATCAACAATCGAAGAGACGTGAATTATATAATTAATAAACTACCGATCAATAAAATACCATACATTGAACGTTTCAGTTTTCGTAGAATCATAATAATGTTTCACATGAATTATTCACCTAATGATATTTAAGTAAGAGTAGATGCATACCATTACTACGTGAAGATTAAAATTATTGTACATTGTTACGTTTATTACTAACTCAATTAATTAAATTCTTTTGATAAATGAACTCCTTTTACTAGAGTCCTTGATATTAGGTTTATCAAGTGCATATGATGTGGTCGAACTCAGGATAATACTTTGACTCTTATTTTCTATCCATTTATTTAATATACTTGCCTTCCAGAGTATTTCTACTCCGACCAAAACTCAAAACAATCAGTTAATGTTATTTAACTACCGAAGAAGTGATTACTAAGTTACTTAGCGGAAGGATTATTTATTTATTTATTTATTTAAACATATAAACATTCGTACAAGGGGGCACCAAATATATATGCGCCACACACTGAAAATGAGGTTGTAAAGAGATAGACAACGAAAAATCAGTATAATAAAACAGAGCAACAGTGAACAGCAATTAGCATATGAGAATCAAATAATAAAAATAATAGAAGCAATTCACTTGTGAAAAATAAAACCAGAAAGAATTCTTTCTGTTCAGGAAGTCACTTTCACTTTTATGAAACAAGTAAAAGGAAGTTACAGCAAAATCGTCATAGCCTTCTATTCTGAGCCATGTCTGAAAACGTCTCAAACTACTGTGTGGCACCATCTCTAGGATCACAACCAGGGAGTCGTGAAGGACCTACAAAAACCAGTCCTTCACAGATTTCTCTCATACTACGACACCATGTCGTGCACTGAACATCTCCGCATTTGAAACTGGTCCCAGCGTCGCCAAGCAATGCACGACGTAGAATTCGCTGGGATGATATCCATAAGACATGTCTAAGCCACCGAAGTCGGTGTGTTAGGATGGTAACAGCAATTGACTAATCGTCAGTGTGCCCGAACATACGTTTCTGAACATCCGCATCACTAAAATAACGTTATCACTGGATGCCAGAAATCCTTCGGAGGCAAAGATGAGCAAACGCAGATTCGTCTAACCTCCCCAATTCGGAGGCTAGGTTTTACGAACATGGAGCATCCGACCTTTTACAGGCAGACTAACACGAGAGCGCCAGAGATGACACAGATTAGCATAAACCGCTCTGAATTTCACTATACGTGAATTAATCTGATCTATCACGTCACCAAAAGCCCTTACGCAGCTACCCAGATACACGAAAATTATTTGTAACATTTTTAATGGATTACTATTCCCATTAACGATTTACTGAACAGAATTGACTTACCTCTTTTACTGTACGCTTTAATATATCAATAAATACGTTCTGGAAAAAAATTTCAGCAAGAGCATAAATGTTCACAACAATTTGGATATCACTTAACTGGTCAGTCTCAGACAAACAGAAATACATGTCTTGGATGCTACTGACAATCATAGCTAAAAACGGTCATCGTAACATACACCATCTATACGGCTAATATCAATACCAAGGCGTTTGACATAAATATCAATTTTATGCGGATAATTTCTAAACCACAAATCGAACAGAAATATTAATGTCTTCTACAAAAATCTGCTGAAAATAAGCTATTGCTTTGTGTAAGTATAAATTCAATGTATACATATATATAACGAAAGCTCTGGAGGAAAAAAAACAAGTAGTATGGTGAAAATGTGAGCATTTCTGGTGGTATTTATATATGCCTTAAATCTGAATGGCACGTTTGTAACATATTTAAAAACAAGAGCACCTACGACAATACCGTGCAAGTAATTATAATGGAACATTAATTTTAACTATAATATTCCAGGGAATTTGAGTACATAAGGCGTTCTATGTATTCATTTTCAGATATAATCAAACTAAGAACAATTACTTCTAATCATAGTTACGTTTCCCGGTCCAAAAATAGACCAATACATAAAACTAGACAAAAGTAATAAAATTTACTGCATCATAGAAAAGAAAGCAACAAGTCATCCACTATGTACTAGGGTATGTGCCACACACTGATTTTGAGGACTAATGATGCTATCTGGTTGCGCAAACCAAAGGCGGATCGGGATTCAAACCTAAGACTATGGCTGAAAATAGAGAGCCTTAAACACCAAGTCACAGCTTCATCATTACGCAGAGTAACATATCCTGTGGCACCGAGTTGTAACAAAATATGACATCGACAAAGGACAAACAGGCATATATAAAAGCTGACACAGGATAATATGGCAAAAGTTTATTCACTGTACATCAACAACAATGATTCGAGAATCAACACCAGGAAAATGCAGTAGTAATTTTTTATTTTTATTTATTTTAACACACAGATATTGGTACAAAGAGGTACCAAATACATATGCGCCACACAAATCTCATTTGATATGTGCAACGAACTACGCAGCAATAAAGACTCTAAGGTAGAAGATACTAAAGTAACGCAACACTATAGAATACTTTTTAACTACAAAAATGATTTTGGGTTATATCAACCAAAATCTCCAGTTACCGAGTTCGGTTGTCCTACAGACCGTGATGACAAAACTGTTATATCCTAGCGAAAATTAAATTATGCGTAACTTCTGCGAGCTATTAATAGACTAATATTATACATATAATCTTATCATATAAATATCGAGTAGCTAGATCATGTGTATTTATATTCCTCATTATAAGCTTTATTCTGATCCATAGACTATTATTATGCGACTTACTATTCTCAAGTTATCCGCAAATTATTAGTTCCAGTCTCCCACAACCACAACCACTTTTTGTCTTGATCTTATACAATTGTTATTTGTTTAATTTAAGATATGATGTGGTCTGGTTTGCTTGTATATAAACAAATTATGTCTGAAATAAATGATTCGTATAATGAAAGCTGTTATAAGCGTTCTTGTCTCAACAGGCAGGGCTAGGCAGGAACAAGGACCAATAAGGATGCTAGGCTGTTCATACCAGTCAAAATGTTATTGGTTTTTTACATTGTTAAGATTGTATAAGTCGTGTTCTGATTGGTGAATAAATCACGTGATATTTAACTGGTCGAAAGTCACAACAGTAAAGAATAGAAAATATTTTGTCTAGAATTTATAATATTGGCATTTGTAACTTACATCACTTACGTATTTACTTACGCCTGTTACTCCTCGTGAAGGAGCATAGGCCGCTCACCAGCATTCGCCATCCGACCCTGTCCTGGACAATCCTTCACAGTTCATTCCAGTCGATATTCATTCTTTTCATGTCTGATTCTATTTCCCGACGTAATGTGTTCTTTGGCCTTCCTCTTTTCCGCTTCCTTTCAGGATTTCAAGTTAGGCCTTGCTTCGTGATGCAGTTTGGTGATTTGCGTAATTTATGTCCTATCCATTTGCTTCGTCTTTTCCTAATTTCCTCTTCAACTGGAATGTGGTTTGTTCTCTCCCAGAGAAGGCTGTTGAGTATGTCGCGTAGATAACTATTTATAAATACTTGTACCTTCTTGATGGTGGTTGTTGTAGTTCTCCAAGTTTCAGTTCTGTACAATAGAACTGACTGTGTTGACGTTGGTATTGAATATTGTGACTTTGATATTGGTTGGAAGTTGTTTTGAGTTGCATATGTTCTTCAATTGTAGGAATGCGGCCATTTGCAAATGTTTCACCATTTTCGTTTCTCTCTCCCAGTCCATGTCGTTCCATGATATCTTCATATCTGGTGTTGTCTGTTCCGACGTGGGCGTTTACATCTCCCATCAGAATGGTGAGTTCCTTTCTTGAGCACTTCTCTATGATTGATTGCAGTCGCTCGTAGAATCGAAATTTAATGTCGTCGTTGCTGTCATTGGTGGGTGCATAATATTGGATAATATTCATTGTGATCGCTTCCTTCTTTGTTTTGAATGATGCTTTGATGATTGTGGATCCGTGAGATTTCGATCCTACAAGTGCACTTCGTGCTACTTTGAATAACATTAGAGCAAGTCCCTGAGTGTGTGGAGCATTTTGCTGTTGGTGACCGGAGTACAGCAGCATCTCTCCCGTATTTAGGCTTTGTTGTTCAGCTTGAGTCCAATGGGTTTCGCTGATTGCCAGTTTTGCCAAGTTGTATCTCCTCATTTCCGTTGCTATTAGACTGGTCTCCGACATTGTCCGGACGTTCCGTGTAGCTATAAAAATTGTTGGTCTGGTTGTTAGAATGGTCATAGGCCTCATGGCTTCTGAAGGAACTCGGCTTTCACCATGAGGTGTCATATTTGTTCTAAATGAAGACGTTCTAACTCCCAGGTCAGAGTTAAAATGGTTTGAATTGTTTTTTCTGTTTAGCGATTCTTAGTGTGTTAGTTTTCTGCGGGATGGGATCGCTAACCACATGCCAAACCCTCCTCCTTTATCCGGGCTTGGGACCGGCAGTAACTCTAGAAGAGCTACGGGCGGAGTTTGTAACTTACATTTATATATATATATCAATAAAATCATGAAAATCGGTCACCAGATATTAAATCCAGATATTAGATTTCTTACCACACCCCGTTTAAACTAACATATTTCATTTCAGTTCATTTTGTATTTATGCAGTCTATTGTTTAGATGGTTTAAATTTCTTTTTCGGCAAGACTATAATTTATGGACGGAGCAATGAGATTTGTGATAACAGATTTTTTTCATTTTGGCGCCAGACTCATTCACTTATTTGTTTAAATGGCGTTTTGGCATTTTTGCTGATGTCAGTTCGTGATGAAAAACCATAAATCTAAATCCTAACCCTTACTATCAACTGTAAATCATAATCCTTAGCATCGTTCAAAGGTTGTCCATAAATTATAGTCTCACCGTTTTTTCTAGTTGGCGTTTATTAACAAGGTTGTTTTCTATGGGGTGGGGTTGGTGACGTCATTCACAACCCTCCTTTTCCTGGGCTTAGGATCATCAGTAACCCTAGAAGAGCTACAGGTGTTGATTTTCAAATTGCTACAAATTATTTTATCTCTTACTATCATATTTTTCACAGGCTTCAGCCTATCTTAAACAAGGTAAATATGCTGAAGCTGAAAAATTATATAAAGAGGTACTTACACGAGCTCATGAAAAAGAATTCGGAAAAATTTCTGATACAAACAAACCTATTTGGATGCTTGCAGAAGAACGTCAGTCCGGTCAGTTAACCAATGCAAATAAAGATATTAGTGAAATTGTTCAATCAATGTGGTCACGTATTTCTCGTTCAGAAAAGTAAGTAGGAAATTTTGATTGGTCTCCATTCTTGCTTACCTACTGCCTGTTATTTTTATTTCTGTCTAACTGTTCAATATCGGTTCAATTATAATCGATTATATAGTCAGATTAATTTGAACACGTTTCCCATATAACCATAGTGTCATACGGAAACACTGATGTTTTTTAAGATGACTATAATAGTATGAATTGATCACTTTACTGTAATTGGAGTTCAAAATTCAGTACATATATATGTATATGGAGACAATAAGTATTTGCTGATTCGTCTTATTATTAAGCTAGATTTATGATTCTTAGTTCGACACGTAACTAATTTTCATCACGAACGGATATAGATCGTAGAATTCTCAGGTGATTCGTATGGTTGTTTGAAAAATCGCTCAGAAACCAAAATTACTCTTATCCAGTCGAAATCCTTTGATGTCGACTGATTATACCCTAACCCGATTTTTCGATTGTCATATTTATTGCTTATGTTAGTGTTTTCCCAGAATCCTCAGGCCACCGGCAATAATCTTATACATCTTTTTCGCGGTAATAAAACCAACCTTAGAAGTAAAGGTTTTTCATATTTCCTGCCTTTTGGTTTTTGTTCATGCTTCAAGTAAAGATTGCTGTTTAAAAATCTCATAAGAACCCAGTGTTTCAAACGTCCAGAATACCAGATATGTTAATCACCATTTAGAAACAATGAACAACTGAATATAAGATTTATGTTTTAATGTTATTTAATGTATTCTCGTTTTACCGTATATTCCCTTTCTATGCTGTCCCATTCCTAACGAATCCCATTCACAGGTGAATAAAATTTTTTCTCTCTTAATGCCTAGTAATAATACTTATAGACAATCTAACTTTGTTTTTCGGTACTGAAAATGTTTTGTTTTTTGGCGTTTACTCATTGAGTTTTTCTGCAAGAATGGAAAATAAACTGCTTTTTTATATATTTCAGAAATGATTTCTATTATAGTTTGATTTCATATTATTGCTTATTTAATGAGTATGTACAAGAATTTAATTTTAAGTAAAGGAGACGAAAGTAGGCTTAGACACCATAGTTGCTTGCGATGATTAGAAATTGTCATATCTAAGTGTGGTGATCTGAATTTTATTATGATAAACTTAAAATCTTCATTTTAGTGTCATTCTATGCTTTTTTCAGGATATCTTATTGATTTCTGTCAAATACTCTCTTTACTTATATTTCTATCGTGATATCAATATTATTATTTTCACTTGTTCTTTTTTCAAACTACTGATTTCCACTCCATACTTTACTGATGCAATATTTAACGATTGTAATCGATCTACATTTGCATCACGCATTATATTGTCTATGACCAGGTTAATAGAGAGGATATATGAGGGAGAAAATTACACCTCACCTAACTGTTGTGGTTGGTATTTAATAAAACTCAGTCTCTTGTGAAAAAGATTATTTTTTCTAATTAATCATAAGGTACTTATCACTTTGATTGCCTTAAGCGAACAATTAGATAAAGGTCTGGTAGTGTTATACACAGGGTAATCAACAATTACACATGATGTCGTTCAGCATCATGTTCTATATTTCAGTATTCTATGTTCTTTCTTTTTTTCTAAAGAAGCCTTCTTAGTGTTTTTTTCTCTTATTGCAGTATTTACTTCTTTGTGTCGGTTTTATTTCGTAGTGATGGGGAAAAGTTTGACAATAGAGCTCTGAAACCCAACTACCCATAAAGCTAGTTCTAAGCAAAAAAATACAAATTGTTCGTTAATAATTGCAAACTATATGTTTTAATTCCTACTATTTTTGTTCTAACCACACGTTTTATAATTTGATCTATTTAAAGATATGAGGAAGTTTTTTCTAATGTTTACTTTTTTGATTCTTACTTCTAGCTAAACTGAGTTTTTTCTCTGTTTTTCACTAGAAAGCATCTCATTCTTAAAAAATCTACATTATACAATGTTAAGGAATTAATAAATGTGAACTTTCTTTCTTATATTCATCAAAATTATTAGATTAAAACGTAATAAAATTTTAGCTTATATTCCTTTTTTTGTGCTTAATTCAATTCATTTATTTATTGATGGTTACACGTACTCACATTGATAAACTGTAATAGCATCCACGTCATTTATCTTAGTAGGTTAATATTTATTTATTGACAGTAAGCTTTTGAAGTATACGTAGTCATTCACTGACTAATGTGGTAAATTATTATTAAAATAATTTAATTAATTCTTCACTTTGATTTTTTTTTCTTCATTTCTACTATTGAATTTTGGTTACTTAAAGTACAATTCACAATATTCAACATATGTATAATAATGTTATAATTTCCATTTCATATTTTTAGTTTTATTACCTAAACATTCCAGTTACTATACTTACTCCAGCTAATCGATTTTTATTCACCTTATAGGCATAGAGACATAGTTTTATATTTATTTTTTATGTTTAGTAATAGATGGTCAGAAACATTTGGTTAACCGTCACTATTTATCTAGCAATATTTTGATGACTCAACCACTTTGCTTTCAGGTTTGAATCCCTCAGCTTAAGGGGCTAAATAATATCAACAACTTTCAAATAAAAAGGAATATGGATACTTAGTTTTTGAATTTTGTCCAATTTAATATTGAATCAGTTCATTGATATAATCGCTCAACAGTTCAGATTGTTATACATTTAAAATCTGTTGCTTATTTTAACAGGCAAGATAAATTATCGAAATTAATCAAAAGAAATGTGTCATAAAGCGTGAAGGAATATCTTAGCAGTCTAAAAGACTGAAGAAAGTGAATTCCCTTAATAACAAACAATTTCGAACGATCTTACTCCATATTTTCAATCATTAGTGTATAAAAAATCGAAGTTTTCGAATAATTAAGTTGATCATTATTAATCTTCTTTCTTCCAATTACTCAGTGTTAATTTATAACCAAAATGTCATTATGTAATTATTACGTAACGTATTCACTCGATGAGTATTATTTCATTATTGTAAATCTTATTTTTATATATATATATATATATATATATATATATATATATATATTGGTGTTGAGCCATGATGAAAAACTAATTGAAAAGAAATTTCTTCGCCCGATTCGTTCCTTCTTTATTTACCAAATGTCAAAATGAAAAAAAATCATATGGCCAGCCGGTAAAGTTGTATCTTCATTCATAACTCAGATATTCAGTTAACTCTGAAGTAATATCTAGTCCGAATCTGTTAATCGAAAATTAAGTGTCTTAGACAGTCTTTTTGAATCAGATAGATAGTGTATAGGAAACCACAGTAAATTTCGTTCACTTCTGTTGATATTCACTTCCTAGTTTACCTTCTTTTTCTTAACTCCCACTGCTTAATGTCAGCCACGCTAATTTGATGTCACCACCATATATTTCAAGTTGTAACTTCAATATCTCAGTTTTCGTTTGCAGGGAAATTTTTAAATTTAATGAGTACAAATTCCTAGTTTTTTTAACTGAAAAACTTCTATTTTTTCATTATACAGTCCAACTGTCGGTACAACTCTTCGAAATTTGGTTGCCCTTTATCGTAGACAAGGTAAATTTGATGCGGCTGATATAATTGATGAGTGTGCTTCATACTCTAAGACGTCATCATCTGTTTCTGAACCTGTAAGTCCTACATATCTCATCGTTATCAATTGTTATTATTTTATCGTGTGGGTAAAGTTTTTGACATTGGTTTACTTCAGAAACTTTTTCCCTATTTTGAAAGGTTTATCAAGCATCAAGGTTTGGCTTGATAATTTCAAATAAATTAGGTATTGAATAAATTGTGCATGGTGATAAGATTGTAATATACATTTGGAACATCCTAATAAGCAGAAAATTGAGTTTTCGACATTTTACAACATAATTAAAGTTGGTTTGTCAGAAAGTAAGTAGACATTTCCGAATTGACACATTTAAATCGCGATTGTATTATTTTAGTCATCAAGTTTTACACTTGGAAACAAAAAGTTCTATGTTTTACTTCCTAATTTTAACAGATTTTAGTATAATTTGATTTTAATGGCAAAAAAATATGCTAATATCTTTCCCTTTTAATCGCCTGTCAGTATTTATTTCCGCATTCAAAAATTAGACATAAACATATAACTAGTTGTTCCCATACACTTAGTTCTTTATAGGTTGTATAACATCCATAAGGCTTCACACTTGGCGTTTGTTACCTTATTCCATTTTCATTGTCTGTACTCGTTCAGAAATTTTATTTTAACTCTGTTCTTGTACATCATTTCGTGACTATGTTTTCCAAATCTTGGATTCCTGTGATACTTGTTTGAATTTGTAACTGATTTGATGATTAAAGTACTCCACTGTTAGGTTACTGGCTTCATCTTCAGCTGTCGGATGGTTTCATCAACTTTTGCACTCGAAGAGTACATAAACTTGTATTTAGCTATTAATTCGATTTTCGTTGTCTGAACATAGATCACGTAGTTCATAGGTATTTGTTTCGAGTTGGATAGATCATTTTACTTTCATATCTATGCATTTACGATTTCTCATTTTTAAATTAGGACTATGAACAGCTGGAACATAAGCCACGATTTCCAATCAATGATCAATATCCTAGGCGAGGTTATCCACGCCATCCATATCAGCGTGTTGAAGATAGATCTATGATCACTTCTTCACGTAGTCTACTTGGCCCTCCGAATGGTCACCCTATCAATAGACGATCATTTCCTCCTAGTCGTGGGTTTTTCAGGTAGCTTAGCTTTCTCTAGCGCCCCGGTCTATTCTCTAATTCATTTGCACTTAAACGTTGGCCTTTAGTAGAGCTTCTGTTTGCTGCACTGCATGATTATATGATCCATCACAATTTTAGTCTATTGATTTAGCAGTTTAACCCGAATTCGCTTCCTTAGTAATTATGATTCAACCTTTGGTGACGTTATTTAAATGAAGGTATTTATTATTCAAGCTTTTCGTTTCATATATATATATATATATATATACACATAAATTTTGTGTCAAGATGTTCTTTTTAAGAACATAGTTGGGATTTTTCCTTCTGTCTTTCTTCCTTGCTGTTCCTTTTTTATTTTTTTTAATATATTACTTAGACACCAATTTTGTTTGCCCATCCTTACTCTGTATTTGGTTTATTAAAAAAGATAAAATATGTGATCCTATTTAATGAATATAACCAATTAGTCAATGACCGGTTTTATGAATTAAATATAGACCACTTAACCAATATTTTATTGGTAATGATTGGCCAATGTAGATCAGACTCATTTTTTCTCTAAATAGCATTTAGGATTTGAAGGAATGTGAAGTGTTGGATACATTAATAAAATAATATCTTTATTTTGAATCATTTGAACCTTTCTTACAATACTCTTCTGATCCAGATGACACCATACATCAACATAAATAATGCTTAGGTATACGTAAGGTATTTTTCAATCTTTTCAGTTGCTTTAAATATATCACTATATGTATTTTCTACTTGGAATTTTACTCGTACCCTTAGTTATTTATTTTCCAGTCCCATTGTACAAATGATGCTTTTATGATACAAATATCCAAATTCATGCATCGTTTTTACTTCAGTATTCAGAGTTCATGCTATTGGGTATTTTCCAGAATGATATATCTGCAATCTTAAAAGGACTGACGCTAGACGACGTGACATCACAGTATCACAGTTAAAGATGCTGTAAATCCTCCATTCAACCTGAAACCGACCTATCTTAAAACTGAGATACTTACACTAATTAATTGCTTCGTCTACTTTAATCACCATCACCGAGTCGTATATTGAAATATTTGTTATTTATTACCTACTAAACTGTCGCTGTTAGAGCACCCCCAGGGGATGCAACGAAGCTAATTAGGCAGATCCTTTTACATCCACTACTTTACTCTTGAAATTCACATATGTAAGAAAATACTGATTAGTTGTGTTTTATTACAATCATAAGTTGTTCTTAACGCGTCTTTATAATTATTTTCAGTACTTAATAAGTGTGGTTCTGTACTATTAATATTATTTTTTTCTTCGAAATGTTCTATTTAGTTATCATTATGCAACAAACAGTTGATAAAACGATACTGACTATTGTAAACTTTAGAATTTCATCTATTTTTAAATATTAATTCTACAAATGAAGAAATATTGCTTATATTTAATTCATCGCCTAATGTATCGACGTAATCCTATTGTAATTTCTCGTTCTACATGAATGTAACTAGAATGTGTCACTTTTTAATTATCTAATCCCTAGATGTTAATCACTGTTACACTACTACTCCCTGTGTTACTGCTATTGCTACCATAAGTGGTTTTTGTTATATAAAATTTACGGATGAAAGTTTTTGTATATTATGCATCTATTAACATTTAAAATGATCCGTAGCAATTATGATTAGCAATAATACTGCTTTTATGTATTTTTACCACTGTTAATTAGTAGTTTATATATATATATATATATATATATATATATATATATATATGCTTGTTTTATTAACCTCTTCCTCTTTTAACTCCACAAATCTCTATATCACAATGTTCTGATTATACACTCATATTTACAGCATCAAAAAGGCCCAATCAATGTCAACCCTACCAGGAAGCTCTAATAATAAGATGTTTTATATGCAGGTTAGTATATTTTGAAACGGTTTATTCCATGTTTCTGTATGATTACATCGATGTTTAATTTCCTACAAGCGGATTTACTTTCCATCTAGTAAATGCACAATATAAATGTTAGGTATAGCTAGCAGAAGTTTACATCACTTACGAGCATTTTTCGAAATTATTGGTGATGTATTTTCAGTAGGAAGAAGCACATTGTTGATTTTTGTACTTACAAATTGCGAGTGGACCAGTGAAATATTAAATGTCAATGATGCTATCAAAGTTTGAGATGTTATAATGGGTTTTCAGAAGATACCAGTTTAACTTAGCCGTATACGAATTATGTGGTAATTCACTCATATGAAGCATGCTTAGTTACATACACTGTTGATTTATTTAAAATCAGTATTGCTGAAACTGTGCTGATAATTATCTGCTTTTTAATTAACATAAATTTGATGTTACTTTGATGGACATAGATTTTAATCGCTGTCTAGTATTTTGGTCAATTTTAACAAACTTTTGAATATATAAGGACTTTCTTCTAAATTTGATCGAATAGTTTCACAGTATTTGGGTGCCGAGTTAATGTGATACATTAAAGAGGAAGAATGTATTTGTAAAATCTCAGCGAAAAAATTTGAACTGAATCCAACGTTTCGCTGAGATTCTACAAATACATTCTTCCTCTTTAAAACTTGGGATAGTTTTTGCGATACTAGTTAAAACCTGTTGGGATTGTTACATTTAGCTTAGATTAGTCAATACATTTTTCAATAGTTTCTCGTCTTCACTGATCGTCAAGTCAGATGTCATCTTTTTTTTTTCAACTTCAACGTGACGTGAAATCTCCCATATTGTCTATAAGTACCTTTACGAATATTCTTTATTTTGTAATGAAATTACGATTTTACGACTTTGGTCGCCAATTACTCTCAATATGTACTATTTCAAAAAAAAAACACCGGTTTTGACAGTTCCTTATTTAAATAAATAATCAGGTAATTTGCAGTTACGTACTTAATTGAACTCAGTGTGCGAGACTGTATCATTCATAAATTTATAAAACAATTTCGATATCGGTATGCCAAGTTCATTAACTGTAAACGGTAAAATACCAATAAAAATCTCAATCTGAGCATTTTGAGAAATTCTTATCACAAAAAGTGACAGTTAACATTCATTGGCACAGATTTAAAAAGATTTAAAGCTTGATAGCTCTTTGCTTTTAGTCTAGCTAGAATAAAGAAGCTTCAGTAAAGATCGTTGTCTTCTAGATTATATTATACTTTGAAGCTCTGTGATTGCATCCATTGTTTATACCAATAGGCATGAGTTTATCATTTTAAAGAGGAACACGACGCGATTTCATTGTTAAATCTCTGTGTGCAAGATAGATGTAAACCAATAATAAACTTGACCAAGTGCTTCGCCAGCGGAGCTTCAGTATATGAAGTGCTTCTCAGGGAGATTGGAGAGAGTGTGCCTCTTCTCTATAACTGACTTTTGTAAGGATGCAAACCTTGCACAATGTTTAATATACCTTCCATTTAACTCTTTGATTAGCTTTACATCTATAGGATTTACCATTCAAATTAATAATTTCGAGACTTTGGAATGTGAAGTTTTATAGAGAATAATCTCTACTGGTCTGTCTTGTGAGGCGTTCTGTACCCACAAAGTCACCTATTAGAAAACAATTTGTGGTTGTTATTCACTATTTACGACCGTTTTTTACTGTCTCTTGATCTGTTTGCATTTATAGCAGGAAAGGCTTAGACAACTGCGTAGTGGTTCAACTAATCCAAAAGAAATTTATTCTCAAGATGGTCATACTAATAACAGTAATAATTATTTTCCCCTTGATGGCTATGGTACACGATCCCAATATATGTTTGACTTCAATCCATCTTTAAACAACAGTTTGAATCATTAATTCCTTCTTCTTTTGCGTTTATGGTCTATTTAAAATTATGAAATTAGCAATTACACTTGTGTTTTAAAATATCCTCTTTCGTTATTTTTTACTTGTTTGTTTATTCTCACCTCTGATCCATAGTAAAGGTTATTACTTTCTCTCTATGTTTACCTACTTATGTGTGTAAAGTGTGATTAGGTGAGTAATTTTGTTAGTAGGATTGAAATATCATTTCTTTGTTTTTATTTATATGAAAATTTATTTGTCTTTTCCATCCTGTTGCCGTTGTTTGCTGTCATCATCAATAGGATAACCGGTCGCGATTATTATACTGTGAGCTCTGAACATTAACTTATATCATTACTTAATTTTTGGCTGTGATGAATCAATTGTGCAGATCTATATGTGAACTTTGTTCAGTTTTATTCGAAAAAACGTTGCACACATGTTATTAAAAGAAAACTGCTCATGTGTGTGTGCATTCGTGTATGTGTGTGTTACTTCCCTTGTTTTGTTTTATGTTGCTGAATTAAGTTCCTTTTTTAAGGAGCTGTATATCTCGAGTGTCATAATTCATTTTTCAAAGAAAAAGATGTAATGAAACACTTATTCAGCTATAATTTATAAAGAACAATATTTGTGTCTTCATTCGCTATAACTGATACATCTTTGCAAAACGGTATAAATCAATGCGTTTTCTTCTCTATAGTCCCTTATATCTTGATTATTATTTTGTTTTATCACTGTTCATTTTTGTGAATGCAATAAAAACGTGCGCCTAAATTTTTGTTCAGCTGTTTTCTCCATGTCAAATTGACCACATTCCTGTTTCTCCCTCTGTGTCAATCTCTATACATCTCTCATTCAAACCGTGTCGTTGGTGCTTATCTTTGTGCACATCTCAAACGTGAGATAAGGATATATGGATATATTTTTGTTTCGTGTTCTTTCATATTAAAATACAATTATGCATTTCTTAACATATTCATCTCTTTTTCTATACAAATATGTCTTCCTTTTTAAACTACAATTAACCTGATGGGACTCTTATCCACTCCTATGTATCCTCATCGCGTATGACAAATTTCTTTCAGTGTCTAAAATTGCCTCCCTAACTAAGTTTATGCTGAAACTACTAAACACCTACGCCAAAATTAGTTGCCATAGCTTTGTTCATAAGATGGATGTTGAGTAGGATTTTTCGATCTACAATACATTGTTAATGATTAGATACATACCTATTAGCGTGAAATCAGTTTATGACAGGCAAGTAGAACCACATATTCAGAATTTCCTTTATTAGTCAACTGGATGTCGATGATTCTGATATTCGCTATACTAATTTTGATAAGGTAAAATAAACTTGCCCATATTCTTTCATGTATCAGAATGAAGTTCTTTAGAACATAAAGTCAACTGTAATTTCTTAAGCCTTGTTATATTTACAAATTAACGAGTTACCACTAACAATGTAATTACTTAAAAGGTTTACTTGATACCGATCTCAATTAGTTGGTTTTTGTGCTCAATGATCGTTCCTATGCCAACGAGATTTTTCCAATTCATTAAGGAGAAAACCGTTTCTGTACTTGAGTAACTGAAATGTTTCATTAGCTCGTATACTTTCAGAACCTTTAAATTTGGCTTACCTCACCACCATCCGTAAGACTTTCATCTGTTCATATCGTTAAATTTGTCAAATGGTTAGTGCTACATCCAGTAATAGCAACCCGGGCTTTCGAACTCTTATCCTTAGTCTCCTACATCTGCTTTTCAAAACTGAAAGCTATTGATTCAGGTGTTCAAAAATTGAATCATATTTTATCAATCGGGATTCTAAAACATCCCATAGATGTAAAAGCTATGTCTGAGATCAATATGTATACCTCGTATGTTGTTTTTCATTTGACTTCACCTAACTGGTTAGGAGACTAGATCAGTTCAAACTTCAATTATCTGAAGACTCGAAAGAAATTTCCTCTAATCTCTCAGATGTTGATTAAATAGCAGGATTGATACTTCTGACCTCGGTTGTAGTAAGTCGTTGATTGTACGCAGTTCAATTAAATAGGACAGTACTCAATTACGCCCGTTACTCCTCGTGAAGGAGCATAGGCCGCTCACCAGCATTCGCCATCCGACCCTGTCCTGGACAATCCTTCACAGTTCATTCCAGTCGATATTCATTCTTTTAATGTCTGATTCTATTTCCCGACGTAATGTGTTCTTTGGCCTTCCTCTTTTCCGCTTCCCTTCAGGATTTCAAGTTGGGCCTTGCTTCGTGACGCAGTTTGGTGATTTGCGTAATGTATGTCCTATCCATTTGCTTCGTCTTTTCCTAATTTCCTCTTCAAATGGAATGTGGTTTGTTCTCTCCCAGCGAAGGCTGTTGAGTATGTTGCGTAGATAACTATTAATAAATACTTGTACCTTCTTGATGGTGGTTGTTGTAGTTCTCCAAGTTTCAGTTCTGTACATTAGAATTGACTGTGTTGACGTTGGTATTGAAGATTGTGACTTTGATATTGGTTGGAAGTTGTTTTGAGTTGCATATGTTCTTCAATTGTAGGAATGCGGCCCTTTGCAAATGTTTCACCATTTTCGTTTCTCTCTCCCAGTCCATGTCGTCCCATGATATCTTCATATCCGGTGTTGTCTGTTCCGACGTGGGCGTTTACATCTCCCATTAGAATGGTGAGGTCGTTTCTTGGGCGCCTCTCTATGATTGATTGCAGCCTTTCATAGAATTGATCTTTAATGTCGTCGTTGTTATCACTGGTGAGTGCATAACATTGGATAATATTCATTGTGATCGCTTCCTTCTTTGTTTTGAATGATGCTTTGATGATTGTGGATCCGTGAGATTTCGATCCTACAAGTGCACTTCGTGCTACTTTGAATAACATTAGAGCAAGTCCCTGAGTGTGTGGAGCATTT